GCGACATAACCGAAGAATTAAAGGAAGACCTTGAACCTGCAGATGAACTTGTTCGAATGTCTACGAACCAGGATGGAAAGAAGTCGACAATGAAGAACAAAGGCTTCTTCGGCAGCATCGGACTATTCCTATATGAGCAGAGGGCACTTTGGAGATTTTACATTCCAGTCGTGGCAAGTGCGGCTGGAGCTGGAGGTAAGCACGCTCGAATTCGCGCTGTCAATACGGACTAACAAAGACATGCCGGTAGCTGCGTTTCCACTCCAAAGTTGGTTGTTTGCGAAGCTTATCGCTGTGTTCCAGTTGACTGGCCAGAGTCTGGCTCACGCAGCCAACTTCTGGGCATTGATGTTCTTCATTCTGGCCCTTGGGACAGCTGCATCCTACGGACTTATGGGATATTCTTCAAACAGGTTCTCATTTGTAAGACTTGCTCTACAACCATTAATGATTTAGATGCTAACTCCCCCCAGGAAGTATCCTCCTTCTATCGAACGCAATACTTTCACAACGTGCTCAACAAGCCTATTCCATTTCACGATCAGATCGAAAACGCTTCTGGCTCCCTTGTCTCTCGGCTAGCGACAGACCCGAAGCAAGTGCAAGAGATAGTCGGGATTAACGGTGCATTTCCGCTATCGTCCATCTTTAGTATTCTGGGATGTATCATCATCGCGTTCACATTCGGTTGGAAGCTCAGTCTCGTCGCTGTATTTGCGGCGCTGCCATGCACATTCCTTGCAGCGTTCATGCGCATTCGCTACGAAATTCAATTCGAGGCAATGAACGCCAAGGTCTACTCCGGAAGTTCGCAATTCGCAGCTGAAGCCATAGACGCTTTCCGTACCGTCTCAGCTTTGACAATGGAAGATGTGATCCTGGACCGGTATTCCAACCTCCTACGGGACCAGCAAACGAAAGCCTTCCGAAAGGCCTGGTACGCCACCCTCATTTTCGCATTCTCTGACAGTGTCGAATTGTGCGCCATGGCACTCACGTTCTGGTAAGTTCTAAATAACCAACCATTCACCACTGCATCTAACAGAAATCTGCAGGTATGGCGGCCAACTCCTCGCCTCCAGAGAATACCAACCGACCGACTTCTTCGTCATCTACATCGCAATCATCCAAGGCGGTCAATCCGCCGGCCAATTCTTCAGTTTCGGCTCCAACGTCGCGCAAGCCATAGCCGCCGCAAACCGCATACTGAGTCTCCGTCCAAACAAGGCTGAACAACAAGAATCCCAAATCATCAAATCCCAACCCGAGTCCCTCCGCACCTACTCCGGAGCCAACATCGAATTCACCAACGTCGTATTCCGCTACCCCAGCCAAGACACCCCGCTCTTCACGAACCTCAACGTCAAAATCGAAAGCGGCCAATTCGTCGCCTTCGTCGGCCCATCCGGCTGCGGAAAAACAACCGTCATATCTCTCCTCGAACGATTCTACACCCCCTACCAAGGAACAGTCCTCATCAACGGCAACGACATCCACTCCATCGACGCCTCATACTACCGCCGCTCCATATCCCTCGTAGCACAAGAACCCCGACTCTTCGAAGGCACTATCCGCGATAACATCACCCTCGGACTCGACCCCTCCGAATATACCGAGGCCGATCTGATCCAAGCATGCAAGGACGCAGAGATCCACGACTTCATCACCTCCCTCCCGGAGGGATACTCCACTGATCTTGGGATCAAGGCCCAGACGTCCATGAGTGGAGGACAACGTCAACGCATGTGTATTGCTAGAGCGCTGCTGCGCAAACCATCTCTCCTTCTGCTTGATGAAGCGACATCGAGTCTTGACTCCCAGTCTGAGAAGGTCGTGCAGGCGGCGATGGAGCGGTTGGCTGCGAAACGGTGTATGACCATTGTGGCGGTCGCGCATAGATTGGCTACTATTCAGAAAGCGGATACGATCTTTGTCTTTGGGGAGAGTCGGAGTGGTTATGGGTCGAGGGTCGTGGAGCAGGGGAGTCATCAGGAGTTGTTGCGGAATAAAGGGACGTATTGGCAGATGGTGAGTTTTGGTTGATGATTAATATTTGCTGTGTGATTGTGGTTGCTAATTGTTTGCAGTGTCAGGAGAACGCGCTCGATCGGTGATTGTATCCTACCCTGTTTTATTTGGTATGGATTTTGGTACATATTTGTGATAAGCTGCTGGCGTGGAGTTGATGCATCATTCGAGCGGCGAGTAGATAACTTGCTATTAGAACTAATACCCATTTATATATAGACGATCATGCTATACATATACACCCTCCAACCACGAACCACAGTAATACCCAACCCCTCCACGGGGACCATAAGAATCAAACTGACAGCTCAACAATCGACTTAAGTCTTACATGAAAGGAGATAGTGCCAATGCCGCTGCACTCCCATTGCAGTTATGTCAGTAGCAACAGACTTGTGAAGATCTGAATCTTATGACTCGTAGGATTGAGTACCCATGGCATGCATAGCAGATCAACAAATAAAACAACCTGCAATGTCATTTGAACTGCTGTTCAACTGACTGGAAGATAGTGGATACTAAGCTTTAGCCGGGTGTGACCGCCGTGCGGTCCGGTCTATTTGTGGAGCAAGCTAATGCCAAAGAACGATTGGGTCCATAGAACGGGAAATTGCCAGATGATTACTGCGTGAGATGACTTGAATCGCGAGAGGCAGAACGGTTGCCTGCACTTTCTGGACGCAATTTGCACATTTCGCACAAAATGCTTGTATCAATATTTTCAACTATACTATAGACAGACGGCTTACTGCTTTCTACTACTTCGAATCGCTATCTCATAAAAGGTGGACATTTTATTAATTCTTCGTGAGTCATTTCGGACATTTTAGTGAGATCGTCGGTTCAGCTCGTCCAGACGCTAGCGTTCGTGATTGCTAAAGGACGAAATATATTCTGGCTCCGTCTTCAGTTCCCACTTCTTGTGCGTGCCAGCAATAGGATTCGATAGTGTATTCGGGTAGCCAGACGATGGTGTACTCGAGTTGCCGGATTTCTTCTTGCCTCCCCTCTTCTTTTTTGACTTCTTGCGGGGGCTCGAATCATCGCCGGGGGCATCCTCTGGTGTTTGCGCTCCGCTCCGTGGAGAAAATTTTGGATTCGGATCTGGCTTATCGGACGAGGCTTTCTCTGGCTGCGTCGTCTTCTCTGGCTGAGGAGCTTTCTCCGGATGAACCGGGGCCGCTTTTTCCGGGACGGGCTTTGAAGATGCCGCAGGCTTTAAATCCTCCTTTAGTGTGGGCTCCGGCTCTGACTTTGGCTCTGTCTTTGATGGAGTTGGTTCCGGTGCAAAGCTTTGATACCTCACTGGCTGAGGCGACCGGAAGGTGAATGAGAGAGGTGAAACTGGAGCAGGAGATGGAGACTTGGGCTTCTCTTCTGGTAGTTCTGGCACGGTGTCGGCGGGTTTAGAATCCTTGACACCGTCCTCCGAACTATCCACGCTAGCTTCTGGGTCGCTCTTGGTGTCATTGCTGTCAGAAACAAGAGTTGTTTGATCAGTAGAAGCATCCTCGTCGGACACGAAGGCAGCACGGCTGGCTGCTGGGCCGTTGGTAGTCGCCTGGGTCAATTTGGCAATGCTCCCGGAGTAGATCTTCAAGACGCGTTCCAGTAGAAACTGATCGAACATTGCATTGCTTCCCACACCATACTTCAGAATATCGGTTCTGAACTGTTCTTCGCCGGCTTTGAACGCTGCGGCAAGTTGATCGGACACAAAGTCCTCAAACCACTTCCTACCGACGAACAAAGTAGCATACACCTCCCGCGCAACCTTGAGTAGTTCCAGTGTTGACACGGAGTCGACGAAGGTATGCATATAGCGCTGTGCGTGGTCCAGCAGGCCCTGGATCTGGTGTCGCTGAGCCATGTGGAAGGCGTATACGCTGCGTTTGAATTCCCGAGCTCGGGCTTTGCAAGTAGAAACGTTGGGATATGTGGCGAGGGTTTGATATTCCCCAGTGTAAAGATAATGGATGAAGGTATGTCCAATGTCGGCGTACATTTCTTCGAGGGCGAATTCCCTGATGTGGGCGAATTTGGGCAAGTTGGCGATTTTGAGGACGTAGTATTCGGGTATGACGTAGGTGGTGCGGCCGATTGTGATGTGGTTGACAGGACCTGCGTAGGGACTGTAGTGCTTTATTCAGTGTTTGATCACATGAAAACAGAGGCAAGTATCTCAATGGCCTAGCTACCTGTCACGAGGCTGGGGATAGTCCGTGATCATTTTGGGAGGCGATTCTGGCTCTGCGAAGACATTTTGGGTCGGCTTCTTTGGCGCAGTGCCAAAGAGATTGCACAATGGACTGTCCGCCGGGAATATCTTTGCCATTGTGTATGCCGACTGTCGTGAGAGATAGACAGACGTAGAAGGGCTGATGTGAGGGATGGCCATTCAAAACAAAGACCGACGAGATCCTGGTTAGCCAGGCAATATGGACTCACCGCCTGGATTAACCGAGTTTCGGATCCTCGCCGCCTACCGCGATAGGGAAGGTGTGTATTTACGACCCGCAGAATGATCTTATCTCGTGATTCCGTGGTTGAGCCCGTACCTGAATTTGAGGTCCGTTTCATGATCTTGTCCTACTCTGTGTCTATGGATGAAATAAATATAATCGCACATTTCCTTCTCATTGTCTTTTGTGAAGAGCTTTTCATACTTTCATGGTCGTTTCCGAGGAAATGCAAGCATTTTTCAGATCTCTCGGAAAATACCGTGACGCCTTGTTTATCAGCTGCCTCAGGCACACTTCTCCACAATATCCTATTCGCCTATTTCGGAAAGAAGCGGTATTGATAGGACGATATGCAAGTTATCGTAATATTGGCCCATGCAGCATCTGACAGCATTACTTTAACTATCACTGGATTCAAATGATTGTATATGCTCCTTGGTTCATGGCGACCAACCAGAATATATCAACCCCTATTACTGCTACTTACTTACGGTCAACTAAACAATCCCCTCACTGTCTAATTGCGCACACAAACTCCTCCACCTCCCTCCCAATAACCCTCTCCCTAACCAAATTCCTCATTGACTCCACAACCCAAGTCTGACAATCCCTTTGCACCACCCTCCTCCCAACCCCAACTCCACACTCTCCCAACCCTCCCTCCTCACCAACACTATTCAACGACTTCCCCGGCACCTTCGCCTCATACAAAATCCTCTCAAAGGCACAACCCGGCACGTTCTCAATCCTTTCCGGTCCCTCCATCAGCTTCTGATCGAAATACCTCCCATCCACCCACTGCAATGGGAACCGCTTCGTCGGAATATCCGGACTGGTACGGAGATCGTGGCGGCGCTTGATCTCAAAGATGAACCCGTTGCGCACGTCCCCAGTTGCGTGGATCTTATCCCCGATCAGGGGATCAACTGGAGAAGATATCCAGTATGCCCAGTGGTCTTTGAACGGGTGGCCGTTGAAGATGTGCAGCTCGAGGAGCAGGGAGTCTTTGGGGCCGGTGGGTGGGACGGTGGGTGGTTGTGGGGTGTTTCTTTGTGATTGAGGGGTTGGTGGGGGGATGGGTGCGGGGGGCGGGGGCGGTGGGATGGAGGACATCGTATTGATTATTGTAGCTTTTATATGCTATGTACTTCGAGCAGTAGTGTGATAGTGTCTAGTGTAAGATTGGGAAGCGGCATAGGGACTACATAGGTGTGTGTCTTTAGCTGGCGCAGTTAAGCGCTGTTGCCTAGGTAAGCGCGGGGTGGGATTGAGTGATCGTCATCCATACAACAGTGGAGGTATAACAATGTGAGATAAAATAACGCCCATAATACATGATGATGCTTCATTTAAAGCGATTCACACCTTCCTCATCTCAACCACCCCCTCCCCAAACTCCGGATACACCTGAAACGTGACCCTCAACCCCGCCACCGCAGCCATCTGTTCCCAATCCTTCTGGCCTCTCTGCCTCCCACCAAAGAACAGAATCATCGCCGCATGCGCCCCCGCCATATTCACATTCTTAGGCAGCCCATGAATCAGGACTCGGGAATACGGTGCCATCGCCTCTGCAATCTTCTGCAACAGTCGTGCAGCCTCTAAATCAGGCAGATCATGCATGAGATTCTGCAGATGGTACACGAGCGCCCCCTTGACCGGCTGGGGGTTATCCTCCCCCTTGAAATCCCACTTTTGCAGCGTAATACCTGGAATACTCGCAATGCCCGGGTTAAAATCCTGCACGATGAGATCGGTTTCCTGAAGTTGCGGAAACGCTGCCTGAAGCTGCAGGAGCATCTGGCCCTTACCACCGCCTATATCTACCATTGTTCTGGGGATCGAGATGCTATCAGCTTCATTAAGGACAGCTTGGATATCGTACCCATGGGCCTGGAGATTCTCGGGAGTTGGTAGAACAGTGCCGAACTTCCCGTCCATGAAGCCATTGACGTTCGTCAGACGGCCGTTGGCTTCCATGATTGACCAGAAGTTCTGCTCGGCTAGATCTGCTCTGCCTATACTGCTGTAGGCATAATGCAGTGGGTTGTCCATTTCATCGAATGGGTATTGGAAATTGCTGGCTTCTAGCTTTCGCATGAGGAAGGCGGATGCCAAGAGGCCTTCTGTTGTGCTGGAGAACACATAGTGTGTTAGGTGGAATGTTTAGTGGTAAGTTGGACTTGTCAGATCTTACAATAGGAGAGACCCATGTTTTGCTGAGGGAGTCGCTTCAATGTGTTTGGTGACTTCGTTTGCCTGGTACATGTCCTCTTTCACTCGGTTAACAAAGCCTAGACCAGCCATGGCGAGCAATGTGTCTTCTGCATAAAACATTGTGGGTCAGCTATCACAAAGTAATCATGGTGTAGCACACTGGGAATACTGACCGATGAGAACTAGAGCTGTCTGATGTGTCAATATGTGCTGCTTATTATTGTTAGAGGTTACTTACGTGGCTCAGGGTCACCAGGTTTCGTTTGCTTGCGATACAAATTCAAAACTGCTTCTGAGGAGAGTGGGCCACCCCAGGCTTTTGCTAGTATTTCGAAGACGCGGAATCGAATGGCAACGGGTACGAAGCCTAATGAACACGCCTGTAGTGGCATATATTAGCCTAGTGGCCCATGCCGGAGAGGTATCTGATTCACTGAATAGATTGTTCTTTCCAGAACTGCACCTGCAGAGACTGAAGCCATAGTGTTTCACCGAATTCTTAATGACTTGGACATAAATCACCTGGTGCAGAATTCGATGTCGTTATATACACTCCGTGCTCGTATTCCAAAGTACTTTGGTTCGTCGCATTCTCTGCGCATGGACTGATCAATAAGTACTCCACCGAATCAGGAAATATCGAGTTTCGTGACTGGTATTGATGGGTGCGATGTGCGCGTCATAGATTTATGCAGCTGCCCAAAACGAGTTGTGCACGTGTTGCACTAACGAGATTTTGGTCGGAATACAAAGTGGTAACCGAGAAGGTTTATCACCCTTTGAAGCGAGCAGCGATAAACTTGATGAGATTGGAGTAGAATTGCATTTCGCTTTTAGATGCGTAGGGGTAGATGCTGGATGGAGTCTTCATGCATTTCCACCTCGGTTATTCATTTCTTCGCCAATTACGAGAGCATGAGTATAGCAGTATGTTGTTAGTTCTTTGGCAACATTTGAGTAATAGAGTCGCCATTACTAGCATGAGCTAACCCTATAAGGTGAAAATGAGACTCTTCGAAGTCTGCGAAATATCTCTAGATTGAAATTGGAGCCTTTGCCACAGAAGAATCATATATTATAATCGACGGGTGATATGATGACATGGGATAATTGCAGTACACTAATCTCGGACGGCCATCGGTCATTAATTATCAAGGATGAGTCCGAACTAGACCTGAACTCGTTAGCCTCTCATCCTTCGGGATGAAATCTCACCATCACGGAGACATTCCGGAGCGATGATTTGCCCGCACGCTATCAGTCAAGTGGATCGGACACATTACCCGCTAATGCCCTAAGCAGGATGACCAAGAATATGCCCGAGGAGGAATAATCACTCCGAGTAGATACAGAAACCATATGTATATAAAGAGAACAAGAGACATCATTTTAAAACATTATCACTCAACACCAAAACGATCAATCATCACTACTCCAAACAACCTTTTACATCCATATCTTCACGATGTCCCCAATCACCCGCCCACCCCTCCACCCCTCCCTCTCTGCCATCCACCAAACCATCCCAACCATGGACATCAGCACGCCCGAAAAACGCCGCGTCTACCGTGACTACCTGACCACGAACTTCACACTCGAAAACACTCTCAAGGGTCATGAATCCACCATCGCCTACCAAGAAGTCGACATCCCGGGTCCCGCTGGGCCCCTGCGCGCCACCATCTTCCGCCCAAAGCACGCCACCCTAGATGTCTCCTCTACCCCTGGGATCCTGCACCTGCACGGTGGCGGGCACTCCACTGGAAACCGCTTCATGGGCTTCACCGTTCTCGACTGGGTGGAATCCCTCGGCGCAGTGATCATGACGGCAGAGTACCGTCTCGCGCCGGAACATCCCCAGCCTGCGCAGTTGGAGGATAGCTATGCGGCGTTGAAGTGGATGAGTGACCGTGCACATGATCTGGGGTTCAACCCGGCCAAGTTGGTAGTATGTGGTGGCTCAGCGGGAGGTAACCTCGCCGCCGGCCTGAGCCTCTTAGCAAGAGACCGCGCCGGTCCAGCAATTAAAGGCCAAGTACTGATGTACCCCTGGGTCGACGACAGCGTGGAGTGGAACTCGATGGAGCAGTTTGGGGATATTGCGCCGTTGACGAAGGCGGATGCGGCGCAGGCGAGTGATTTTGCCTTCGGGGTGAATCGGGAGTTTGCCGATATGTATACAGTTCCGTTGAGAGCGAAGAGCTTTGTGGGACTGCCCGAGACGTTTATTGATGTTGGGGAGGCAGATGTGTTCCGTGATCAGGATCTTGCGTATGCTGCTAGGTTGTGGAGGGATGGGGTTGCTACGGAGTTGCATGTTTGGCCGGGGTGTTGGCATGGGTTTGATGCTTTTGTGCCCGAGGCGGAGGTTAGTCTCAGGGCGAGGGAGGCGAGGTTGGGGTGGTTGAGGAGATTGCTTGCTTGATGTGTTGGTAGTTGAGGATTTATGGTTGTTCGTGTTCGTGTTCTTAACTTGGTGTACATATTGTTTGATTTTTGTAAGAAGTATAGGAGTTGCGATTTCCATTTTGAGCTTCCAGCTGTCCTCGATTAGTGGTAGAAACTGAAGAGAAGCAATGGGTCATCGATTTTATTAGATGATTGCTCAGATTTTACCGTCCCCATTCTTCTTCTCCATCCCATTATCATCTTCTAATTTTGTAGAAGCCTCCCCGTCACTTCCTTTCTCACCCTTCCGCTCAACATCAGGCTTGTTCTGCTTCACACTGCGCCATTCCATACAAACTGCACCGACGCTAGCAAGACAAGCCATGATAAGTCCTACCTGAAAGCACACGCGCAGAGAATCATTATAGGCTTGTAAACCATCATCTCGATATCTCTCCGGAATAAGGCTTAGCACGTCCGTCGCACCCGTACTCTGAATCACCCGCGGAGTGATTTCCACATCCGGAATTCGTGAAAGATGCCGAGCCAGCTGATTGGAAAGGACATTTTCACCAACAGATGTAAAAATAGCTCCGAAAAGCTGCTGACCGAAGAACATAAGCGACGCTCCGATAGCGACATCCTTGCGGGGCAACACAGTTTGCACAGCAATGTTGTTGATCTGGGTTGATGAACCAAGGCCGTAGCCGTATAGAATCTGGTAACCGATCCATTTTGCTTCTGGGGTGTTCACATCCAAGGTGGTGATCAGACCGGCTCCGATTGATGTAAGACAAACACCAAAAATCAAGAAAGGCATGTAGTATCCAATGCGGGAGATGAGTTGGCCGGTGACGATGGATGCTACAACCAATGGTATTATCGTTGGAAGGAGGTGTATACCACTGCTGACTGCCGAGACGCCTTCAATAGCTTGGAACCATATGGGAAAGTAGTATACTAGTATGGTCATTGGTATACGGTTTCTGCCAGTAAGTTGTGTGAAGACTCACTGATGATCATTGTATGTGCGCCTTGGCAGCAGCTCACCCAGAAGCCGCTCGCAATACTACGCTGGAGGAGTATTTTAGGTGGCAGTATGGCCTGCTCTGGCTTCCAGATTTGGATACCCAGGAAGGCGATAAGAAGCACGAATGCAAGCACAAGCAGTGCGATGATTCTCCCATTGCTCCACTAGACAGTGTTAGAATTGCTTATAGCTTAGATATTTGCCCTAATGAAGAAGCGGTTAACTTACGTTATATGTGGTACCGGCCCACTGCAAGGCCAGGCATAGACAGACAACACCGGGAATAAGCGCAATCATTCCTAAGAGATTTAGCTGCCGCAGCTTCTCTGTCAGTGGTGTGTTGGTGGATGTTTGTGCCGGGACATGCAACAGAAAGAACACGACAACGAAGACCACCCCACCAAGAGGAAGGTTGATGTAGAAACACCACCTCCATGTAACGTCGGTAGTAAAAACGCCACCAATCAACGGACCTGACACAGACGCGACCCCAAACACAGCCCCAAATAAGCCCTGGTACTTAGGACGCTTATGGAGCGGAACGGCATAGACAATAATGACCATCTAAATGGATATATAAGTAAAAGACGTTTTAATGATTAAATGGTTGAACAACTCACGGCGCCAGATGAAATTCCACCAGCTCCCATCCCGGCAATGGCTCTGCCTATGATAAAGGTAATGGAACTCGGTGCAGCACCGCATAGGGCCGACCCAGCCTCGAACAGTATTATAGACGACATAAATACAGCCTTAATGTCGAAAGAACGATACAGCTTGCCAAACATCAGCTGGAACGCACAGTTTGTCAGCGAATATGCCGTTCCATACCAGCCAATATCGCCCGCTGAGTTGAATTCGTTGGTAATCTGAGGTATCGCCGTTGAAATAATCATGCGGTCCTGTGTATATGTCAGCTCAATATACTATATAGATTGGAGCATCGGAGAATACCAAAGACACGAGGAACATGCCAATCAACATGGATATTATAATCATTGCAAGCCTTAAGCCCGAGGGATAGCTCGCTTCAGGCTGGGTGCTCCTGCGATTGTTGGCAGTTGCCTTATCATCATCTTTGTGGTCTTGAGTCCGGCTGTCGCTTTCGAAAGACATGTTGATTGTTATGAACCGCTTGCAGATCCAAATGCTAGTACGGCCTCAAGAACTTAGAGAATGGACACGCAGAGCAATACGTACTTCGAAAACGCTTCATGTCAAAAATAAACAAAAGCATTTCCGTCCAATATATAGGTCGCCATCCTCGGCCGAGGAGTGGGAGTGTTCGAAGACACCTTTGTGGGGCTACAGCTATAGTATAGATGAGCTTCGGAAATGGAGCCGGCCATCTCGGGATCCGAGACAAATTACGCTAAGCCATTCTTGGACCCGAAGGCTCCGAAGGACTCAATCTCGGGCATGAATCGCCCGATTTGCCTTTTGAACACCTCTATTCAATACCATGAGAACAATATCCTGCCAAAATATGCTTGAAAAACACTTATTAAAATAACAGCCCCAGTCTGTATCTAGTGAATGTCGTCTACCCCTCCAGCTGGGCCTCTTGGCCCAACTCGACCGAAGCTCGCCTGTTCTCTCTGCGCTCGTCGCAAGGTGAAATGCGACAAGGGCGAGCCGTGCTCTAACTGCCTCAAAGCACATGCTCAGTGTATATACGAAGCTCCTGCTTCACCTCGACCACGAAAGAGGGCTGCTGATGAAGAGCTTCTCGCACGACTCGCCCGCTACGAAGAACTCATGCGCAGCCACCATATCGATTTCTCTTCACACACCCAAAAATGGATCCCTTCAAACCAGAAGTTTCAACCGAAGGAGAGTCATTTGGCTGGCTCACACGCTGAGAAGGGCGATGAAGCTAGTGTCCAAGCATCATCGCTGCTTACAGATGGCACGACTGCAGAAAGAGAACGGTAAGATTTCCGGCAAACAAAAAGCTGTTTGCAATATGTTACTAATGGTGACAGATGTTTGTGGTCGGATCTCAGGCCAGAGGTTTGTGTTTCCGGCTACTACCATAATCATATAATACTAATAGCCCTTTGTAAACAGCTCAAGTATCCCTCTATCCAGAGCCTTGGACACAAGGATGACCCCGCCCTGTATCCTACTCCTTCCCTTGGAGAGGCTATCTCCGATACGCAAAGCATCCATGACTTCCACCCCGAGCCAAAACACATTTACCGGTTGTGGCAGATCTTCGTAGAAAGAGTTCACCCCATGACAAAGATCGTCCATGTGCCTTCCCTGCAACAGCGTGTCTTGGATACTAGCTGCAATTCATACAGCGCATCCAAGCCACTAACAGCTATCTTATTTGCTATCTATACCATTTCAATCACCTCTAGCTCACCCGGCGAATGTGAGACGTATTTTGGCCTGCAAAAGGCCGTTCTTTTGAGACAATACCGAACCGCAACTCTGCGTGCTCTCATTGCAACAGACTTCCTCACAACCACTGACCTCGAAGTCCTACAGGCACTGGTATTATTCCTCTTCTCTAACCCAAGATGTGATTTAGCAACCACCCTGTCCGGCGCCGCCCTTCGACTAGCCGAGAAGATGGGCCTACATCAAGACACATCTGACCCCAACATAACTTTCTTTGAGAAAGAAATGCGCATTCGTTTATGGTGGCAGCTCCGCGGCCTCGAAGCTCGATGTCGCATTGGCTCTACACCAGGAATGAAGCCACCACCCTCTTCCGAGATAGGCGACGTCCGCCTCCCACTTAACGTCAACGACGCGGATCTGCATCCGGACATGACTGAGCCTCCTCGGGAACACAACGGTCCCACAGAAATGATGTGTGTCTTGTTGAAAATGGACGTTTCCAACTGGCGCCGCCACTGTCCGACAGCCACTCAGCTCATTGAAAGTGTGATGCAGGGCTCGGTCAGATCTAAGGCGGTTATCGAACTGGAGAGCAAGGCGGTTGACGAGCTCAACGATATATACTGTCGGAGAAATACTCGTAACTCTGATCCACACATTCCACTTCATAGGCTTACTCAAGCCATTGCGAATCTCTCAATCGCGCGGTTCAGGTTCAAAATTCATCATCCTCGCCGACGGTTTAGCGCAGCTGGCAACGAGATCTATATAACACGTGACGAACGTGAAATTCTGTTTGAATCAGCCCTGACCTGGCTACAATCCATGATGGATATCAGGTTACGCAGCAAGTTTCCTTATTACTTATTCACGCACCTCACGACAGATACCTACATGGACGCTTATATCCACATCCTGCTTGAGCTGCGGCAACGACGCTCAGGGGACCGCGTCGCACTTGCTTGGCAGCTGGTAGAGGACCTCTTCAGCGAACACCCCGAGCTTATCGATGACAGTAACCCATTTTTTGTTTCGTTCACAGACTTGGTTTTGGATGCATGGGAATCTCGCAGTTATGAGCTGGCTAGAAGCCAGGGAGGTCTAGAAGCAGTCACCACGCCAAGTTTTATCTATCGACTCTTGGATAAGAAGCGTAACAATCGTCTGAGTGATTTGACATCCAGCTTGGATTTGCATAACCCTGGGAGTTTCGAGTTGCAGGACGAAGAGGATACCAGTTGGCTATCTTGGGGAGATTTCCTTCAGTTGTGAGCACGAATATGCGCAGCGGTGAGGCAAACTAATCAATGTAAATAATAAAGCCCATTAATCTAATGTCAACGACCTAATACGATATAGAATTAACTTTGGCGAAATCAAAATCAATACCGATCAACGCACCAACCCGCAGTTTCAGTGTAAATAAACAGCTCTACCAATTGTAGCAAACATGAAACACAGATCTATATCTATCAACGTCTCGCTGACCATAAGCAATGACTGACAATAACCCAATTGCTAACTGTAACATTCCAGGCTTCCGGGCATTCATCGTTCGATCTTCGTCATCATATCAATCAGAAATTCGGATAGCACAATGTAACCCGGCAATGGGAACGTGCCCCCAACTCAATCCTCCTCGGGATGAACATGATCAAGAGCAGGATTTATCCTGTCGAAATGCCTGTCATATTTATGAAGACGTTCGATTATTTTAGCCCGCTTGGCAGTTTTTGTCGGCTGCTGGTCGACTTCCACCCACTTCCGCTTGTACCTGGCATCCTGTGCTGCAGAAATACTTGGACGTATGCCAAAACAATCATCGAGTGCGATCTGCTCGCAGTATTCAACATGGCTGTAGATGAAGTCTTGGTATATTACTCTAGGGTGACGAGTGACTATGTTAATAGACTCATGTGGGTTATCTGAAACCAGGAGGTAACTGTGAGCACTGCTGACTTTCCAATTAACTTGCTTCTCAAGGTGTAGAAGGACATGATAGAGAACGCCGCTCTCCGCATGCTCCTCACGACATCCATAAAACGTAGAAGAAGCAAGGGATCTTCGCTCCAACATCGCTCGAAACCCATTCACAAAATCATCCTCCTGCTCCAACGAAGATCTGAAGTAGGTAAGAAAAATCCATCGACAGTGTATCTTCTGGGAATGCTTCTTTTTGTCCGAAGACCCTGATGGATGAGAAGAGGACCCGACCGGCACAACAGTGGGCGGTTGGGACAGTTTAGGGGTTGGTTCCAGGCGGTAGCGACCGAAAACCATTTCTCGTCTGTACGAAAGATTTGTCTGAATGAGCAAGTTGTTTGTGTTGGACTATCCGTCCAAAGGATAATAGTGTCCGGGGCTGCCCTCGACTATTTATGCTCCTTGGAAAGCCCTGGCATTGCAGGAGTGGCCCAATTAGGCAGTTTTCTTAGTCGCCATAATAAATCCCGCACTTTTTGCTTACAATACAGACTTGATCCTCGTGACCAAGCCAAAGTAGCACAGATTGTGGAGGGTCTCGGGTAACGAGACGGTAATGGCGGGCGGTAGCGGGCAGCAGAATCTCAAAGAGGGAATTCTTGGCAAGTTGGCCGTATTTCTTGGCGAGACTGAGCTTACCTTCCTCTTCTGGAAGAGGGGTAGAGATCACCTCGCTTAGGGCGGTGAACAGTAGTAATGGAGCAGGTAGTGATGGTTGCAGGTTGTTAGCCAACTATGTTTCTTAAATGGACGTTGGTTTTTTGGTGGCGCAAGGCGCGTTTCAGTTTTCCTGCTGCGTAGGCAGCATTGTAGTATACTTAGCAAGACTGAGAAAATCTCCTTTTCTGGTAAGGCGCGGGTTGGTACCCTGCTTATGAACATGACGGTATAGTTCACTGCATTTAGTGCCCCTGATGTGTATACAATAACTACTAATTTCAAACTTCTAGTAGAATTACTAAGCTCTCGAATATAACTATTTGTACAGTCTGATGATCAGTCTCGCATTGGCCTGGCTACGGCTTGACATTACTTATAGTATTGATTAGTGTATTGTCCATGAAGTCTGCTACTGCCTGGGCGTTCATGCACAAAGATATGTCTTGGTAGGGGTGTACAGAGAGACCGCCTTTTATACGTACCTTGTCTGTTGTTCAGTGGGCTCTACGCCGGCGCTCGCATCAATAACGCCAACCATGAACACACTATGTAGTTGGAACTTAAGAGAGGGACACACGAAGAACAGAGCAAGAATAACGAAAAAGAAAAGAAAAGGTTCCGTACAGCAAAAGTGTCAAAGTGGGAGATATGAGGAGAAGAGAGAGAAAAGGCGTGATAGACGAAGACTCATACTAACCCACTATGTATTCACTGTTTATGTAAAGATTGTACACTACTAACCACAAATAATATTGTCAGAAAACTTCACAACATTACCGTACCCCAAGTATTATCCTGAAACTGCGATTAAACAATGACAGTAATACAATGGTGAATGCAGATGCAATTGGTCAAATACGCCGGGTGTCACCGGATATTCAGCTGTGACGTCATGTGAATATAAAGAGCTCAGCACGTCTGACAGACCAACTCTGTTCCTCCAACTCACATCACCCATTGCACCATGGATCCAGCAAACGGATACTGTGGGCTTGAAGACTATGGCCTGGTGGGGGACATGCACACTTGTGCACTGGTCAGCAAGAATGGCAGCGTCGACTCCATGTGCTGGCCCGTGTTCGATTCCCCTTCCATCTTCTGCCGCATTCTAGACAAGGAAAAGGGAGGTCATTTTTCGATTACGCCGGATCGCAGATTGAAGAATCCTTTGAGTAAGCAGCGCTATCGCCCGTACACCAACATGCTGGAGACCCGTTGGATTCATGAGGAGGGTGTGGTGAATATCTTGGATTATTTTCCGATCGCAAAACCCAAGCCGCATGTGGTCGAGAAAGGGCTTCCCCAGTGGTGTCGATGCTACCAGAACAAAGGGTCTGCACAACAGGAGGCATGTCGTTCAGGGATGGTGCGGAAAGCAGAGTGCGTGCGTGGTGAAATGGAGATAGAAATCGAGCTTTTCCCGGCGTTTAATTACGCACGCGATTCACATATAGCCCAACAGTCTTCGGCTTCCGACGACGGTATCCAAGTTTACCACTTCCAGTCAGAGAGCCAAAATCTGGTTGTCAGCGTTTTGGGAGACAAGGGTGATATCTCCGAGGATAACTCCGATCTTAACATTGAATTTGAACTGTCTGATCGACCCGGCCACCTGGGCCCCGGTCTGATCGGGAAGGTTACCTTAAAAGAGGGACAGTCCGTCACTATGCTTCTTCATGATCAGGAATCCATAACGTGCAATGCTCAGGATCTAGCCCCATATTTACAGCAAATTGAGCGAACAACAGGCGATTTCTGGTCAGACTGGACCAGCAAGTGCACCTTTCGAGGTCACTACCGTGAGCAAGTGGAACGCAGTCTACTCGTTTTGAAGCTTCTGACCTACAAGCCAACCGGAGCAATCGTGGCAGCTCCCACCTTCTCACTACCCGAGCATATAGGCGGGAGTCGTAATTGGGACTATCGGTACTCCTGGGTGCGTGATGCAGCCTTCACGGTCTATGTATTCTTGAAGAACGGCTATCCCGAAGAAGCCGAATCATACATCAACTTCATTTTCGAGCGCATCTTCCCACCCATGGATAAGAATCCAAAACCAGGGGAGCCCTTTCTGCCTATCATGATCACTATTCATGGTGAGCGTGAGATCCCCGAGATGGAACTCGACCATCTGGAGGGGTACCGGGGGAGCCGACCGGTGCGTATCGGCAACGGTGCAGCGACTCATGTCCAGCTAGACATTTACGGAGAACTTATGGACAGTATTTACCTCTACAACAAACACGCAGCCGACATCTCATACGACCAGTGGCGAGCTATCCGTCGCATGATCGATTTTGTCATCCAGATCCGCCATCAGCCTGACCAGTCTATCTGGGAAGTGCGCGGACCACCGCAGAATTTTGTCTACTCAAAAATCATGCTTTGGGTGGCTTTGGATCGTGGTGTGCGACTGGCAGAGAAGAGATCCAATCTACCATGTCCGGACCGGGCACGATGGATGCACGAACGTGATGCACTATACGATGAGATCATGACCAAGGGGTATAACACTGAGAAGGGGTTTTTCTGCATGAGCTATGAGAACCAAGATGCTATGGACGCTGCTGTGCTTATTGCGCCCTTGGTGTTCTTCGTAGCGCCGAATGATCCTCGGTTGCTGAGCACCATACAGAAGATCACGGATGTTCCCGCAAAAGGTGGCTTGAGTGTGGCTAATATGGTATCACGCTATGATACTGGGAAGGTCGATGATGGTAAGCTGTCCCCATCTTCTTTAACTACGACAAACATCTAACAATCATCCCAGGTGTTGGAGGCAACGAAGGCGCTTTCCTAATGGTTACATTCTGGCTCGTCGAAGCCATGATGCGTGTAAGTACCGAACTCGCCTCCTAGTTGTTCCATCTCGTCACCTAACAATTATCATCAGGCCGCCAAGTCCAAAGCATATCTTCCCCACGACCCGTTCTTCCAACAACTGCGCAAGACAGCCACATCCCAGTTTGATAGCATTCTATCCTTTGCAAATCATCTGGGTATGTTCTCCGAGGAGGTTGCGACGTCCGGAGAGCAGATCGGCAACATGCCGCAGGCGTTTAGCCACCTGGCGTGTGTGAGTGCAGCGATGAATCTCGGCGGAGGGGGCGACCGATGATTTTACCTGATCTTGAAAAGGATTTGTAAAGAACGCTAGGTATTGAGAATAATGGCAAAGAGATGTGAAAGGTTTCTGGCGTTTTAACTTTCCCATAAATTACATTGGAATATGAAGCAAGATAGCATCAAGTTCCCTTTGAATCCGGCAGAAGAACTTTTAAACCCTGCAAGAACCTTTCATCTACTAGTACTTGAGGTAGACACAAAAATGCTACAAAGAATGTTTGATTAGTCTATACTATAAGAAAATATCTCTACCCTTTGATAATGATCGAAATTTATGTTTTACATGCCTCTACTACCATTGAGCCTATGGTTGTAATTGTAGGATTCCAATATATATTTTTTCGTAGATCACGGAAGCGGCTCATCATCTGCTGAGAATAGACATTATCGTCTAGCACTACACCGCCCGACCATCAAATAGAGAACTCCCAAAGGCAAATGAATGCAGAACCAGACAAGACAAAACAAAGAAGAAGAAAAAAAGAGGGAAAAAATGGAGGAGTAGAGGATACATATAGAAACACTCAACCTGAGTTTGAAAAAAACAAAAAAGAAAGCCCAACGCGGGGCTCGAACCCGCAGCCTTGAGATTAAGAGTCTCACGCTCTACCGATTGAGCTAGCCGGGCTAGTTCGGTGAAAGACCCAGAGGAATAATGCTAATAGTAGACACTATTGTTCTTCGATCTTCCAACCTGACCTGCATCACGTGCTTGAGCCCTTTGGAGACAGATGCATTAGTGGCATATTTTAGAGCCATTCCATATGCGAGATAGTGCATTAGTGTCATTTTTAGAGCCATCCTGAGGCCGTGCATTAGTGCTATGCTTTAGAGCGATTCTGTATGCATGGACCTGCATAGTGAGATAAACAATAACTAACGTAGACCTGAACTCTCATGTATGCCACGCTGCAAAAACCTAGATGGTAGCGCTATTCTAGGTATTGAGTAATAGACATCTTCGAATCAATTCATGCTGCATTACCAAGCTACCCTAGCAACGCGGTTTACTGTCGCCTCTTTCTTACCCTGCGCGAGTACCGTCCGATCAAAGAAGGTGTGTATCGACGAAATGTCTTATTAGTTACATTAGCAAACGCTATAGATCTTTAGAGAGCCATGGCCTACCAACTTCAGTCCATATCGGACACCGTAGTCGATTTCTCTGTCATCCGCAGCTCTGATTGCTGTAGCAGCTACGTAGAGCTCAATGGATGATGATTATATTGATTGTTATGGTCGCGGAGGATGAGGGATTCTCGAAGCTACACTAGATGGTCTCACCATACAAAATAGGAAGGAACAATCATGTGATAATCGCCGTGGTGAAGAGACATTCGCGAAGAGAAATGCTGTGCGCAGACGATTGCGCCGTTGCGCTTATAGGTTGAGACAGGAAGAAGTGGGTATCATCTTGATGCTTGACGAACCATGTATATTCTTAGATCGTGAGAAAGCCACAGCGACAGTAGTGGTCATCCATGTATCGTGCGAGTTGACCTATATTATTAGTAGTACAGTCAGCTTCCGAAATCCCGTTTGAGATAGACATATGACCACTTGCCTAGCTTATTGGACAAGAAATTGTGCCGCGTTTGGCTTTTCTTCGGTGCGAATGTCCAGAATGTCTTAACCTCGCCCACTACTCTGATAGTATGCGTCTTTCGATCCACCATTACTATATCGGGTATGAGTTTCGACTTTGCCTTCGTGATCTTCTGCAAGCCGCGCTTTCGCTTCTGCCCTTTCTTTACAGGGTCTTGGCGTCTATACACACCATATTGCGCGTCTCCGAAACGGACTCCAATTTTCATCAGCTCCTTATTTCCCCAACAAATTGCAGCACATCATTTACGAAGCGACCGTGCACCCCGAACTCATTCGCCACGCCAATTGCCTCTCGAGATATGATAGGTATGAATGCCTCATATCTATCACAGTAAGGTTCTATGAGGGTCTATATCTCCTTGGCGAAGTCTGGCCATTTGCAAGCCTGAGTGGGGCTCGGTGTGAACTTAGAGTTCCCAACTTTAGAGTCATGAATCCTGGTTCAGTAATCAATATTGGAAGACGGGACCAGAGCTGTTAGCGACGGCCCTCCGAAAATATTAGGAGATAGTGCCGATCTTAGCTAGTATCAATATGCTTGATATATACATTATAGACCTTAAGGTTGTTAGGCAACTTATCAGAATAGCGAGCGATAGTTTTGTATATATGGGAATAATTATATGATCATATCACTTGTGATACAGCTCCCTAGATTAGCATGAATATACATATATAGTAGATAGTTGTTCGAAATCGGAAAGGAAACAAGCCTTCGAACACGGAGAATATATACCTTTCTGCTGATCCAATATGATGAATTGATGGGGTTCACTTTCAGTGTCTTCACCTGAAGCTATACTATTCACGTCCACCCAGAACCGAAATATTCATAGTCTTCTAGATAATTTTCTACTTCACATTTTCTCTACGAACTGCATGAATACAACCATTAACCAGTGACCTTGTTTAGTAATACAATCTTGAGCTGCCATATGCACGGCACTGCATTAGCTTCACTTTTAGAGTCATCTTGGGGCCGTGCATTAGTGCTATATCTTAGAGCCATTCATATGCATGGGCCTACATTTGACAGCTGCCATCTGCACGGAGCTGCCTTAGTGTACCTTTTAGAGTCATTCTTCATGCACGGCCTGAATGGGTCGCTCTAAATATGTGGGCCTTGCCCGAGCAACCAATGAAACTGTTAGCTATCAGGGGTTTATGTACCCACTCTCTGCACAGGCCAGCACAATGGCGCTAATGCACAGTCTTGCAGGTTGATGGCTCTAAGCCTGTGGGACACATTGGAATATCCAATCAGGCTATAGAATAGATAGTATGTGGAGCTCATGATCAACCCAGGGAAGTTGGGACTGATGCACGATTATACAGTACACATAAATTCTTATCCCTGCAGATTACATAATTTCCGTCTTATTGCAGCTCTTGGCTAGTAATAAATGTGGCTAAAGCTAGTAAAATAAACTGTATATAACAGTAGGTAAAATTCAGCCCGTGGGATATAGCCAAGACGTATAGGTGACTCAAGACCTCATTGCTTCAAATACGAGCCATTGGCGTCCAATAGTGCAAACCTTGCACGGGTTGCTTTTGGGAGAATTGGTAATCTGCAGGAAAGAACTAAATGACTTTCCAATGATGGCCACGTATCTTACTTTATGAATAGCCCATAAACGCCGCAAAGACACGACTGTATGGTCACTGAAGACATGGAACATAATATCTGGCTTACTCCAGTTGGAGTATATCGTAGCGGATGCAATATTGGGTCATCAACTTGACTGATCATCGGGCTAAGCGACAAGAAAGAATCGGCTCGCATATATGGCAAAGAATGATGTGGCGAACATCACGAGAGCCGCGAACAAATGTAAAAATCTTGATGAAAATTGGGAGATACAGACGGGTTTAGACGATTTCCCGGATGACTCTAATGACAATTGGGATGATAATGATGATGGTCATGATGGCAATAGTAGAAGAGTAGCCCATTAATACATTACGACCCTGCATGGGAAGCAGTAAATCCATGTTCCCGGGACATCTGCAGCACGGCATTCGGAAGGTTTCACTCACTCGTTTGCTGTGACAGGTCAGGTGATTACCAGCTTGTCAGCATGCTCATCTAGACCAACTCTACCTCCCCAACCCCTCGTATACTCCTGGCACATTGCTTTTGCTCTCGTCCAGAGTTTATATAACCTTTTCATCACCTGCCTGACGTCTTTCGGTTCGACAGCAGTTGATCAGTCTTCACATCTTATCACAGCATCTAGTTTCCATTCACCCGCCCCCAGGTCCCTCTCTTTCCCCAACAAAATCGACCCCCATATCAAAGGCACCTCCCGTGACAGATTTCTGTCGAAAATGGGTACCCTCATGGTGGTCATTAATCCAATCATGGCCGCTGGCGGCTACGACAATGATCGCAGAGTCGGTACAGGACGTGTCCTTCCTACCAAGTTCAATCCTCCCTATCCTGACGATACACCACAATCCCTTTTCCCACCTGGCATCAAAGTCGACTGTGTGCCGCAGGTCCATCGCTTCATTGGACGAAACAACCCCCGCGAGCTTCTCATCTACACCAATGGCACCTGTGTGGAGAACGGCGGAGCCGTCCCCAGAGGGGGCTGTGGCGAGCCCAGAGGTGGTTGTGGTGTTGTCTACCGGTCTCCCGTGGACCTTCCGGAAGGCAAACTCAATCACTTCAAGATCCCTCTCGAAATCAAAGGACCCAGCGGCCGAAGACATCCTCACACAAGTGAGCGAGCTGAATTGCGGGCCGTAATTGCAGCCCTCCGATTCCGCTGCTGGACCGGAGAAGGGTTCAACAAACTGGTGATCGCGACTGATTCCGAGTACGTGGTGGAGGGAGCAACATGTTGGGTCCAGGGATGGATCCAGAGGGGCTGGAAGACAAGAACAGGGAATCCTGTTAGTAATCGGGACCTGTGGGAGTGTCTGCTGGGTGAGTTGGAGCGGTGGTATGATCATGGTATGGACATCCAATTCTGGCAGATCCCGAAAGAATGGAATACCGAGGCGGCTCGCCTTGCTGAACAGGCCGCGTTGGAGACCCCAGCAAGAGCGTTTGGCGATGTTTCCGGATACATGGTCTAAGATGAAATGTGCTTACCATGGGTGGAGGGGCTTCAATTATCTAGTCTGTTGTTTACATGGAAGGCCATATAAGACTGTTCGGATATATGGTAAGGCTGTTGTTGCTGGAACTAAACTTTGTATCTAAAACTTTTTCCAAACTATATATAGGGTCCTAACTTACGAGCGTATATTGCGGGCTTATTGGCAACAATTATCCCCTCTCGTACTGGAAGCTTAGGTAGACCGACCTTTGTGCATGTAGTAACAGCACCACAATTCAATTGGAAGCTTCCATCGTATTCAAGCGTCATTACTACTATCCCAGAGATTAGTATCATCATATTAATCCTCATGATCATGTACAAAAAATAGCCACTCAGATCCAGAGCGCTCGGTTCACGTGACTTACGAAATCAAGCGTTTGTGGCTATACGGAAAACGACGCTAGCGTGCAACTAGCTACACACTTAACCTGGTCCTGTTGGCTGGGAAATTCACCCCCTCGCGGGACAAAACAACCTCCAACGTGGCCTCGCAAAACGCACCAAACTGGTGAACAGTAGCTTCATTTGGTTGACATATAACGTGTCATTTCCGGAGAGCAACGGCATACTCCAGCACAGCTTTAATGTGCTGCCGCAGGGGAAAGGAGTCTGGACAACAGCCGGTCACTGGGATGGTGCTTGACTGCTGACGTGCTGCAGAACTTTTGTCCGGGTTCGCCTTTGGCGCCAAACTCAGCTGTCGGGGTTTCGGGACGGCGTATCTAATAGGGAGCAACCTGGTATGAGATAGGGGAGGTGTTGTACAGCTTTAAGCTTTTCGTTTTTTCTTTTTAATGATTCTGAAACGAGACGGTAACGAAGATGAAAATCAAGGGGTATAATAATAATAATAATAATAATACTAATAACGATAACATAGCCAAATAAAAAGTGAAATCAAAATAAGGAATAAATGGGTCGCAGATCTTGTTCCACCGCACGGGAATAACCGGGTCCAAGGCCTAACTAAACTATAAGACCCTCCCGAGTGGTCCCGATATGGCCCGTGCCGAAGAATTCGAACCCATCGCAGACAGTTAACGGTTCCCGTCTCGACCCATACTTTGTGAACCATGGATCAATACTACTTTCAGTTTCAGGGGAGCGCCCGTGAAAGTGGGCCGATTGGGCACCCAACGGTGAAAAATTATTAATAGTTGTTTGTGGTTAGGGCTTGTTTTTACTACAAGTCCAGGCCTTGGAAGGTATCAGTCTACCGGGATTTGTTCGGGTTCAGCATTCTTGGCACCAGACGTGAGTCATATCTATACTAGTAGTGACTATTTTGTGTGTATCATAATGTTTGAATGTAATTAGTAAGATAAAGTAGATCTGTTCCGAGATAATTTCACAAGTAGATAAGCGTATTAGAGCATGGATGTGGTATAGTATAGTCTATAAAGGAGATTCGATGGGTATGAGAGAATGCGCTTGCAACATGGAAAGAAACTCGTGTGGTATCGTGAACGTCCCTCGGTGTGGTTGTGGGGCTTTTCGTGGCTTCTCGAGGGATGGTATGTGGTCAAAGTGGTGCTCGTTGTGCATCCATATGCTTAGCATACGGTAGCGTCGATGAGGTCAGAACCCACAAGGCTGTAATTAGAGAATACGTTAGCGGCCGATGCGATGAGCTGCGGGTAAGTCCACACCTACATCTAGCGTCCCTGTCCAGCATAACGGCCAGGTTGGAAGTTGTATTCATCGTCCCAGTGCTCCTTCGCAGCTAGGCCAGCTTTCCAAAGGTCCAGATGTTTGCGAAAGCGCGATTTGAGATTGTTTGGGGAGGATGGGCGGTGTACGCCGTCCTGAATGTTGAGACTTAATGATGATGGAGAGTCCATGTTGAGCGGCTGTGTGATGAACCACGAGGAAGTATGGGAATATTGGGAGAGGAAGATGTTCTGATTCTACGACCTGAAATGACCAGGCTGGCCTATTCTTATATGTTTGTCACACCGGGAGAAAAGAAAATTTTTTATTGTTTTCTTTTTTTTATTCCCTCAAGGATAGCGTAAGCCTTGTCGGTTTTCTCTCGGCGCGGGTGATTCTCGGAATCTCGGCGATGGTTCGGTTTCACGTTTTTCTTTCCATATCCCGAGATTTCCCGCACCAGTCACACAGCACGGTTCCTGACAACTCATCCTTGGTCAACACAACGGACTCCCTGCCAAGCCATTGCCTGTATTGGATGAGTTAACACTTTCATCATTCCTGTTCCTATCTCGTCGTCTAGTCGGCCTAGATCTGGAAATGCTCTTTATCACTGTCTCCCTGCATTCTGCCTTCCTTCCCGAAAGCCCCAGCTATGGAACCGCTGGACAGCCCTATGCGACTGATGAGATCTGTATGGACTCGATACCTAGTCACTATCTCCCTGGCGTCATTACATATACCATTTGCTGACGATAGACGATACGGACCGTGCATCGCAACGTGGTGCGATGTAATTGCTACTGTCTAGACAGAGTTAGGTGAGTTGCGTTGCCCGATCCTGGTGTTCGCGAGATTTTGGTGGCACCACACCGTTATACGTCGACCTGGTTCTCAAACTCCAAATCCTAAGGTACGAGCTCCCATATCTATACCCAGTCAAACTTCGACGATCTGGGCCCACAATATGTACCAAGGATCGGTCAGATGCTGTAGTCATTCCCAATCACGTGTTACGGTCCTTATCCGGTTCACATGATTAGTGCCAAGGCTAAGCAATAGGGTTTGACGCATGACCTTCCTTACTGAAAAGCAAGAGCAAGGACTACCAATTGCCGCAGTTTACCCAAATAGTAACAGAGTGACCGATATGGCTCACCGTATCATTATCTTGTCTGATTGAAAGTTCAAAGGACCATTTTAGCGTTCAATCTATATAATATCACTATTAAATAAATATCACTGAACCTAACTATTTGTAACCCTCGACAGTGGCACAATGCCGACCATGAAGCTTGAGAAAAGAAAGCAAAGTCAGAACCCACCAAATGGGGTGATACCGAGTACAGCAGGAAATATATTGATACCCATTAAGAAAACAACGACTTTTAGTTCTTCACGTCCACTCTTTGGGCATCCCGCTCCCTCTCCATTCTTCTCCACCCAGCGGCAAACCTCCACTGAATCAAAGGTCCGACCAATGCGAGCAGCTGGACCGCGATGCAAATGGTAAACGCCACCCCAACCCCAACACTATTGATAAGAGGCATGATGAAGCTTGTACCCCCCGCAGCAAAGAGGCATCGTGCAAGGTTCAAACTGGCACTAGCCGCAGCGCTTCTATCGGGGAAAACATCAACAAGATAAGTCATGATGAGGGACTGTGTGGAGACAGCAGTCCAGCCCGTGATGAAGGTCGAGACGATAGGCACAGCGATATGTACCTTGCGTGAAAAATTAATCGTCCAACCAAACAAGATGATAGAAAGGCACTGGAGGATGGAGAAGATTGGCACAAGTCGAAGGCGGGCCTTTTCGAGGGGAAAGTTCTCTTCGCGTGTAGCCGCAGTGGTATCCTCTCCTTGCTCTGCATCAAGCGAAGCCTCATACCTGGTCTTCACACGACGATAGTCGGCATCGAGAATTTTACCAGTAACGAGTGTTCCGATCATGGATCCGACACCGTTCGCGATGAACGTCAAACCGATCTGCATCTCTGACAAACCATAGCGGCTTTCGAAAAGGGAGGACATCGCTGTGATGCTCATCTGCCATACGGCGTAATATATTGCGAGAAAAATGATAATAGGTGCCGCGTGGTTGCTCATGAGTATACGAAGCGGGCCCAAAACATCAATCTTTTTCTTTGCGGCGCGCTGCGCTTGGCCGTCCGGAATCTGCTCCCAATCGACCTTGGTCGTTTTCTGATATATGTCCAGCGGAAAGTTCACCAGTGGGTTGGGAGACTTCAAACTTCCATTACCAACGATCGATCGAAGAGTCTCTGGAAGAAACACGATGAGAAAGCAGAGGAAAGCACCGCTGTAAATGGTCAAGAACCAGAAAATCGCCTTCCATCCAAGGGACCCAGCAATTGCACCTCCGATTACGGGACCGACGGCAACAGGGACGAGCAGACCAGCTTGGAAGATTCCCATGTAGCCACCTCGTTCGGCCCGAGTGGTGATGTCGCTGATAACGCCAGATCCAATTGCAATCGTGCTAGCGCTTCCAGTACTTTGAAGACATCGGAGAACAATAAGTGTCGCGTAGTTCTTCGTCTCTGCAAGTCCAATACAGGCGCCTAGAAAGACAATAAATGTGCACATGTATGCTGTCCGGCGGCCTTTTACATCAGAAATTGGGCCCCAGAGGCTGGGTGCTAGACCCTGGAAGATCAGATAGGAGGTAACAGTCAGGTTGAGAAGTTCGGTGGAGACATTGAGGTCATTTGCAATTGTCGGTATTGCTGGGAAATAAATGTTGGATGCAAAACCGGAGACTATTAAGACGTTAGTAGGGTACGAAGAGATATGGACTTGGTATAACGTACATGTTGCTGCAGTTGATACGATAATGATGATCAGCCACTTCTGACGCTTATCGAAGATACTGTAGGGTGGTTCGGGAGTCGCAATTCCAGTCGAATTGTCCGATTGAACCAGTGCCGCATTGTCATCTGAAGGCATATTGTATATAATATGTGTCTCTGAGAAATTATCAATTGGCAATGGACTGGGATGTAACGCGACTGCTATAGAAAGCAGCCCTCCCTATAAACAACGTCACCGTGGCAATCCCGTGATCATCCCGCAGTATTTTTGCGGAGTTCGGACCTGAGCCCCGGACTTCCGATTCTCAGGTCCGTTCCATCCAAAAAGTGCATCTCCGCTCTCTTTATTCAAATGCATCCTATATATAGCGCAATCTAGCAATCTGAATCAATACCGATGCATCCATGCTCACTGTCACTTCAAATATCAGACCAACATGGATAGCACTGCCACCGGTTCAATCAACTTTGGCAAAAACTATGCCGTTCTAAACCTAGACTGGATCACGGTGCTTATCGACGCCGTCAAAGACACCCCTGAAGGTCAAGCCTTGATCGAAAACTTGGCCAAATGGAACGATGCCGTTCATGCGAGAGCGTCTCGTCCTCTAACCGTTTTCTCTACACTCTCTTTCTATCCTGGCCAGCCAGAAGTCCAATCCGGTACTCCTTTTGCCAACCTCATTGCCCCCTTCGGAGAGTTCAGACACGGTTCACCTGAAACCCAAATTTACAAGGCATTCAGCGTGGACAGTCAAGACATCGTTCTCCCAAAGACTAGGTGGTCCGCAACGACAGGAAGTGTATTGGAGCAGATCTTGCAGGCACATGGTGTCAAGACGGTTATCATTGTATGTAACACGTATTCTAAAAACGTGAGGATGTGCTGACTAGGTGAATAGTCAGGATTGACTCTTTCTGGCGTGGTGATGGCTACGATCTATCGGCTTTTTGACTTGGACTACAATGTCTATGTTATCAGGGAAAATGTTTTGGAGTTACCTGTTGAGCAGCATTCGGCATTCGCGAATGTTATGCTCAATATGTTGCTGCCAAAGATGGGCATTAAAGTCATCTCGGTGGATGAGGGAATTAATGCTTTGAGCCGATCTTAATGTGAGGATATGCTAATTCTCTATGTTGGGTTGTATTTCTCCAGAGCTTATGCCCTGCTCGTAATTCATTTGGCAATTTCAAACCATTTTATAAATCGAGACATGTATGTATAACTGTGATAATGAACTAAAACTCAGGTAAGCACCAAACTACGCAAAATAGGAAGGAAAATAAAATGTCATGGCTTCAGAGCTCAAATGAGATCATGTGACGAGGAGTCTGTATCCGGAAGCCAAATTAGAGTCCGAGCCCGGACCCACTTCTCAGCTCCGACACCTCCGTCACTTCCGATCAGAAGGAGATCAATCCAACTTCTCCATTACAAACACCAGAGATAACGGCCAAAGAATAAGAAGGAGCGCGATCAGCGACTCCACCACAAGTACTAGTTTCAATAACGATGAAGTATTGATACAGAAGATGAAACCTTCTAGATACTCCACCTCTAGGCAAAAGGCCTGTCAGCAGTGTGCTAGTGCGAAAGCTCGTTGTGACCGCAGATCTGGAGGCAGGGAGCCATGCTCGAGATGCATGCATCGTGGCATCCCATGCTCATATGTTCAAGATGATGCTTCTGAGCGGAATCCAACAAGCCCGGTAGCACCACCCAGTCCATTCTCGGTGTCGGATTCCTCACTTAGAGGTTTGGGAGGTGGCGTTCTGGCCATGAGTAACTTGCCAACTTCAACACTACCATCATCTATGGGCACCGAAGTGCTTGCTAACACTCAGAACGAGTTATCTGCGTTGGAAGATGTCTTAGACTTCTCATCTCTTGACCTGGTGTGCCCTATCAATGCCGATGATATTCAGAATCGTTGGATCCAGGCATATATTCCGATGCCTGGACAAGCAGTCAAGAACTACCCTGATGGTGTTAGATCATATATTTACTTGACTCTCAGGTCATACTCTGCGATGGCTGTCAGTGGCCGGGGGACCCTGCCCTTCATTCATCCCAAGCAGATGATCGCGCAGCCAGCCGGTTCACCTCTCACTACCTGCCTGAGCTTAGTACGAATATGCTCGAACCAGCTTCCTGGAAGCCGTCAGGCGGCAGTTGGTGTTCTACGTCGAGAAATACAAACTCTGGATCAAGATCGGGCGAAATACACCAGTGATGGTCTGTTTGCCGCGTTTCAGTCTTACCTGATATACTCCATGGTTCTGTTCTTCATACTCGGACAATCATGCGATGATGACTTTCGCGCTATAATGACGAGCCTCCAAGAGCTAGCCTGCGCTTCATCTCGGCAAGGGTTGATATGTGCGGCTGATCAACGACGAGCGCGACCGAAGTGGGAAGAATGGATTATAACGGAGGCCAAGCGTCGGACACTTTACGTTATGTATTTGTTCGATAGTATCCTCTCTAGCCAGGAGGGTCTTCCTACATTCCTTGGCACTGAGCTACGAGGTCTGCCTGCTCCGGCCAATAAGCTACTGTGGCAGGCAGGAACGCGGTATGAGTGGGAGAGGGAATATAACGTACATATGGCGGACTGGATGGAAGGATGTCTAACCATTGACGAGTTATGGCCCACGCCTGATGATTTAGGGGAGGTTGGGGTTGCAAGGAGGCGTGCAAGGGTGGATCAGTGGCTGCAGAACCTTGATGAATATGGAACAATGCTTTTCGCCATTATGAGATGTACTCACGGCGACTGATGGATGCTGTTCGTATTCGAGATACACAGAGTTGTTAGTGCCCTATTCAAAAAGATTCACCATCGTGATCTTCACGGTACGTACTTGGATTTATTTAGAAAGCCTCACGTGGCATTTCACACAGGGCAAGTTGACTTAACATCCAGCCTTTCAATCCCAGGTCTTGATAAGATCGTAAGATGGAGTTTCATAAGCAACTCCTGTCAGAAACACTTGTTGTGGGTCTTTCCCTATAGGGAAGCTCGTAGACCTTTTCTAAGCCGTAGGGTGCAGTTCCTTACCTGAACAAGTATCACTGGAATTTGCGGCGCAGCACAAAGCAGGATTCTGGCTTTGGTCAGCGCATTAGCTATGCAACCGGTGTTCTTGGTTTGCAGTAACCCAACCAATCAGCATGTCGTCATTGTACAATCAGAGTGCCATGAAGTCGTGCGTGCCGGCTGCGGCCCTTCGCTTCCTGGCCCCCACTGACTCTGGCCCCCACCACAGTACCCTCACAGTGGCCGATGATTCTGCCTCGGGAATCGCTGATAAAGAGCGCCAGACCATGGCGACAAGCAAGCTGGCGGTGGCTCTGTGTTAGCCCATCAGGAGTGGTGAAGGTACAGTTATTATAGTGGTTATCTACTCCAGATCTGTTATTTGTACGAAGTATCCAAAACCATCCAAAGAGATGGTTTCGTCCAATACCTTGCTTCCATCCTTTATAACCCTATCACTCTTTATGTTTAGCCTGCGTGGGAGGTAAAGTTAAATCATTTGTCTGCCTTGAGTACTCACTGCTCCACCATGCCCTCCCTCGAATCGAGACAAGTAGCTGTCATTGTCAGCTTCGCAATACTGAATGCATTGGCTCTGATAGCCGTGGGTTTGAGGTTCTACGCTCGGGCCTTCATACGGAGAGAAAGCCAAGCTCATGATATCCTTACCATTGTCTCGTTGGTTATGCTCATAGGTTACACAACCTGTCTTCTAGTTGCTACAGTCAAAGGAGGCGTCGGTATACCTCTCACTCAAGCTATAGCATCTGGGCTTAGCATCATGAGCGTGTTGAAGGTGAATATGCTTTTATCCAAGACCACCAGAGCTATGTGGCTGACGAATACACCGCATGTAGACTTTCTTTGCCTCCCAGCTATTCTGGGCAATTGGAATAGCCTGCTTCCGTCTTGCAATCCTTGACCTCTACATTTACACCTTCCCAGTCCAAACGTTTTGTATCGCGGCATATGTACTAGAAGGAATTATCATGCTGTATCTCATTGGTAGCATTGCCACCACACTACGTCTCTGTCGCCCATTAGCATACTACTGGAATCCAAGCCTCGAGGGCTCGTGTGGCAATGCAGTGACTGCGGAACTCGCGGCGGCCGTCATTAACATGATCCTTGATATCATCGCCGTAATACTGCCAGTACCAGTTATTTGGAAGTTACAAATGGCCACCGAGAAAAAGGTCGCCGTTATCGCCACCTTTGGCCTGGGACTAGTGTGAGTCAGCTCACATACCTCACCCTGCTGGGGACGTTGCTGACCGAAATCCAACCAATAGTATTTCTGTTATAAACCTCATCCGTCTCATCAAGGTCTTAGACTGCACCTTGGATCAAGACCTTACATACTGCACGGCTGATAGTGCCATTCTAACTGTGGCGGAAATGGCAGTTGGGATCATGGTGGCATGTGCACCCACCTTTGGCCCGGTCATTTGTCCTAGCCGCAGAAGACGGTTCGCAGAGCAGGAGCAAGGCCTCAGTTGCAGCAGTCACGCCAGCGGCGGTCGGTGGCCGTTGAAGCGATCGAGACAGAATACTACTGCTTCTTCTCCTTCTACTGCTGAACACCACCCTTACAGACAGTTTACATCGGTTCATTACGATGCGAGTTTGGAAATGCAAAGTCAGAACTCTCGGACTGGGCTTGTTCAGAACATCCATCGGAACAAATATCCCAGCGAAGATTCCATGCCCCCAGGCGTTGAATAAGCTTAGATATGATATAATCAACATGTAAACAAGCCTGGAGAATCAGCTCTCTATCAAGCGACTTCAAATCAACCAAGCTATAATTACAGGCGAATAAAATACAAAATTCCATAGAAGTATAAGGCCTAACGCGCCTTTTCTTTGCCCGATCGCTTTCCAAAAAGCTGTTTCCGTTTCTCGGCCGGCTTTAGAATCTAACAGACAACAATTCACCGATAAGCATTCGTTCTACTGAACCTCAATAATAATAAAGACACATATACGACTCACCTTAAACGAGCACATAAGATCCTCGTCAATATCCAGCATAGCCCCCGAATTATCAAACTCGCCACAATAATTTGGCGCACTGAAAAGAGTTATGAGCTGCCGCTTAGCGAAGAACTCATATCCATCCTGAACACACTCATGAGCGCGGCATATAAGGTCGAGATCATGCTTCTGGATAAACCGATGAACCACATCAGGACCGAAAGTAAACGATACACCACGGTCATTTGGGCCCCAGCCCAGAATATGCTTGCCCGGGTCGGCCCAGAGGAGGTCGCATAGTAAACCCTCATCGGGGATCTTATTGACGATCAGTACTCATCCTGAACAGAAAACGGGACCAGGAGCATATGATATGACTCACATCCGTAGGTCGCATAATGCGCCGGATTTGGTCCATAGAAGTCAAGTCCGGGCTAAGCCCTCCATGCATACAAAATATCTTGTCTTCTATAATAGCGACCAGAGGGAGACAGTTGAAACAATCGATGAATGTCTTCCAAAGCCTGACATTATACCTTCGTTTACATTCATCGTAGAATCCGTAGATGCGATTGATGGATGCGCATTCATGATTCCCTCGCAAAATGAAAAAGTTCTCCGGATACTTGATCTTGTAGGCTAGCAGGAGACAGATACATTCTATGGACTGTTTGCCGCGATCCACGTAGTCACCGAGAAACAAGAAGTTGGATTCTGGTGGAAAGCCACCATATTCGAATAGGCGTAATAGGTCGTAGTATTGTCCGTGGATGTCGCCGCAGACCTGGTGCTTATCAGTTATCTTCTAGCAAGTTACAGTATATATGTGATGCCAAAGGTCTTACCTTGATAGGTGCCTCAAGTTCTAGTAGTATCGGTTGGGTGAGGAAGATCTCCCGCGCCATGCGGCAGAGATATTCGATTTCGGCCTCGCTTATTTCAACAGGTTTGCCTGGTCGTGACCCTCTTACTGCTACTAACCTCTCAATAAGAGCATCCAAGTTCACGTTGTCCCCCTCTGCCATGGTGTTGACTAGTGATCTATAAGCAGCTCTGGTACCAAGGGACTCCATCTATCGACAGCAATCATTGGCGGGGAAGTCTGGGGAAGATGGAGGCTCTGGCCCGGAACAGCAGGTATAAATACAATCTGGGAATAGAATCTCAGAGAAACTTTTCAGTGTTTCAAGCCAAGATGATATCCATACCACCGGGTTGATCCGCTTGTGATAATGTTCCTGGGGAGGTATTTGACAATCGCGATGGATCGTCGACGATATGGGCCAGTCACGTGAATTGCTGCTCGGAGAATCCCAAGGCCTTCTGTAAACACGCTCACATTGGTACCGAAAGAAAATAGCAACAAATTAAGATTTATCTTGGCTTCAAGGTGAACTCCGACTAGAATGTCGGAGTTGAGCCTAGCCAATCATGATTGGCAAATCCTCACAGGAGGTTACTAATGCCGCCACCCTTAGTTATCCCACGGACAGGGTTCTACCATAAATAATTTCTGCCTATTCAAAGTATTCCGGAACAGTTTCGTTGTTCATGCACTACATTCAAGTATCTGTTTTTATGAATATCTGTTTTTATAAACTCTCGATATCATCCTGCGTTTACCAATTCTACTTACACATAGTCTTCTTCGCAGCGAACAATGATAGTTGACATTACGAGTAGGCCAGATAAGCAGTCGAAGCCAAAGGGATTGGACTATCAGCATACCCGAAACTTGGACGCATTGATCGAGCAATTAATGAATTGTATAACCTTGTCAGAGGATAATATAGAGGGATTATGCGATCAGGTACAGTGTCAATAGCCTTTATGACCAGGCCATTGTTGACATTCTCTCTAGGCAAGGGAGTTGTTGCAAGATGAATCAAATGTACAGCCAGTCGTGAGTCACCTGACTAGCTACCAGTTCCAGTACACAATATAACAGCCCTAATGATCATTTTAGTCCAGCCCCGTTACAGTCTGTGGCGACATTCATGGCCAGTATCATGACCTGATCGAGCTTTTCCGAATAAGTGGACCATGTCCAGACACCAATTACCTCTTCATGGGTGGGATACCAATCCTAAAGCTGCAGTCCGAGTATCATGTCTCTAATATCATCACACCTTGCTAGGTGACTACGTCGACCGCGGCTACCATTCCGTCGAATCAGTATCCCTCCTCGTCGCCCTCAAAGTCCGCTACCCCAAACGCATAACGATCCTCCGGGGCAACCACGAATCCCGACAAATCACTCAAGTATATGGCTTCTACGACGAATGTCTGCGGAAGTACGGCAACGCCAGGGTATGGACATTATTTACAGACCTATTCGACTACCTCCCTCTTACCGCTCTTATCGACAATTGCATCTTCTGTCTCCACGGAGGGCTAAGTCCCTCTATTGATACTCTGGATAATGTTCGAAAGCTAGACAGAGTACATGAACCTCCTCATGAAGGCCCGATGTGTGATCTCCTCTGGAGCGATCCTGATGACAGATACGGTTGGGGCATTTCGCCTCGTGGCGCCGGGTATACGTTCGGACAGGATATATCTGACGCGTTCAATCACAATAACGGTCTCAGTCTTATCGCGCGAGCACATCAGATGGTAATGGATGGGTATCTTTGGGCACATGATAAAAACGTGGTTACGGTTTTCTCTGGTATAATCTACTTCATTGTTGAAAATGGCTGGGAACGTGCTAATGGGTAGATTCTAGCTCCGAACTACTGCTACCGTTGTGGCAATCAAGCAGCTATACTGGAGGTAGATGAGCAACTCAACTACCAATTGTAAGACTGATGCATGCGATGTGAGCCCTGTACGTTTGCTAACTTTGGAAACCAGTATACAGTTTGATCCTTCGCCACGGACTGGGGAACCTACAGTGCATAGAAGGACGCCAGATTACTTTTTATAGCTGTCAATTCGCCTACAACGCGATGGGTTTTAAAAGAGTTGAGTTGCTACTATATACTTCGATTTACTAATCTTGCCGGTGGCAAATGTACTAGAGGTAAGGTATTAAAATGAATTCCGGGCACGAATGATGGTGTGTTTATATCAATTTCAAAGTTTGTTTGGGCTTGTCCTCCGCGCTTGGCAGAATATGTGTTTTATGTTTTTGTTTTTACACCTCACCAATCAAGGAATACTTATGGCACGTTATTGTAGTCCAGTTGATAAAAGCCAAAAGAAGGTGATATGCAATGTGATTTGGAAAAGAAAACCCAAAGCAGCGGCAATGGAATCATTTCCTAGCATATTTTCACAGTTTCGAGGGCCAGGTAGATGACCAATTGAGTTCTGGTTGCATTTTCCACAACAAATGGTTTTGGCAAATAAAAATGACAAGAAAAGGTAGGTTCAAGTAAGTGTCGACGAGTGACCGAGCAGGAGAGAGACGCGATTGAGAACGAAGGAAGAATGAAAAGATCTAGTAGAGCCGAGCAGTTCATTTATTAACATAATTGCTTCGATTGTGTTCTTACTGTACCGAGGACATTTTGGCTGAAGTCGCTCAATGTATGTGTCATGAAAAGTGGCCTGGTCTAGTTTAGGAAATTTACCACACCGTGTCTCATTGTGTCCTCTCAGTTATAGTGAGTATCCTCAGTCGGTCACCATCATTGGCTTAGTGGTAATCGAATATACCACGGTATAAGATATTCTGCTGTGGTGCTGACCAATGGGTTCATCAGCCGGCTTTGAACCACAGAAAAAGTGACAATGCCCAATTGCCTCAAGGCACGCTATTGTCAGCTAGATATATCCGAGGAAGCGTCAGACATCGTTCCTGAAGGTCAACAGAAGCCGAGCCACGTGGGTTTACTAAAAAGATTACCATCATCGCAATCCAGATAGAGCACCTCTTGGGCACTCCTAACACTCACCTCATAGGAGCGAAGGTAACCTGCGTACATAGATATTCACCGCTACCTGGACATCAACTACGTACGCGATAGGTCAAGTGGAGATTTCCAGGAATACTGTCTTCCGTCTTCAACTCGTTCGAGTTGTCAATAAACCGACCTCAATAGCTGTCATTGGTATGATTACAGTCATAGACCGCGAATAATGAAGGTCTGCTTGGGGGGATCAATAGGATCGACGAATGGCTGTATCTAGCTTTGCGGTGGGCTGTGATCTAGTGGAAAGTAATCTCCTGAGACCGGACCCATACCACTGTGTAAAGGGACCAACAAATCGGATATGGAGGGTTGGAAGGACCCTGAAGGATATTGTTCAGAAGTGGGGCGAATATTGTCCGAGGCGCTGTACCTTGGCTAGCTATCAATAGTGTCAGCTTAGTAGATGAACAACGACCTAGTGTCTCAGATCTGTTTATTGGTTCTACCTGTTGAATAGTTTCCCTGCAGCAGCCGTGGCGGGCCTGATTGGGTCACCAATATTTTTCGGCGATCCACCCAACGGGGATCCAGTCAGTTACGTGGGGTAAATGTAGGGTTCCGAAGGAAACTTGATTTTGCCGGCAGAATTTTCACACATGAAGATCATGATATTGGGTAATATTAGGCAGAACGGGAATCCCGGAAGACGAGCATGGAGACCGTGATTAACGCCTACGCAGGTGGGAATGTCTTCAAAACGTGTCTGGCTACAGTGAATGCCCTAATGTCAAAGTCGCTGCCAATGTCTTTCGAGGAGCCCGTTTGGACCTGTCTCTTGCCTCTAAGATCTAGTTATTACCACCAAGTAGGCCATATCCCTTCTAAGGTACATGTGCATCAACAATCTCACAGCGTCATTGCATGCTCGGAAGACTTTAAATCGATATTCCCCGCATAGCCAACTCATCATACTCCAAACGAATGCCACGGATATTGATACGTAGTACTTTCGCATTTTAGTAGACAGTCTTGGTACGACTGCGTGTCCGACTACTAACGCTACCTTCCCCTCTAATTTCCATCTTTCGGGTCTCCTGCGTCTTTTCAAAACCCTCGGCAGTCGAGTTCGAGTTATCCGTTGAAGAACCTGACAGTGTAGCGTCGACAACATTGAGTCCTTGGTTAATTTCTGTTCTCCTGGCCGCGGGGGCCTTCGTAACACTCTCGGTATTTGACCTCTCCGACGCAGCAATTGTGGGACGAGAAACCCCGGTTTGTGCGGATTCGAGAAGCTCTATTACACTTTGATACGTTCCCTTCATGGAAGAGCCTTCATGAGAAGCTCGCATCTTCCACTGGGCCACTTCCACGGGACTGTTGTTCTTAAATTTTGTACAGTATGATCGGAAGTTTGGATCTGCTCCCAAGTTGAGAAGGATTTTTATAACTTCCTTATTGGCGGAAATGGATGCAACATGTAGCGGCGTTCCCCATTTTGCAGAAATTGTCGTGGTCGGATCAAGACCCCTGGAGAGAAGGAAGCGAAATTTGATAGCTGCATCGCACCTCCAAACAAGGGCGTCAAATAAGAGACTGGGCTCCAGCTTCGCCCCATATTGCACAAGCAAATCGAATGTAGCTCCGTTGTCCTCCCCGACTAGATCAAGCGAGCTGGAGAGGGGGCTTATCTTTCTCGGACCACAGCGGTTGGGGTCAACGCCTCTTTCGAGTAATTCCCGGGCACAGTTAACCGAATAAAATCTACAATGGGCAAGAATTAGACTTGCAATCAATAACAATGGTGTTTGGAGATTGACATACCGCAGAAGAGGCTCGCCATTAGTCGTTATACAATCACTAGGCTTCAGACCACGATCAAAGTAGAGGCGAATGACGCGCGGGTCCTGTTTCGTATCATTCCCACAGAGACAGCCGATTGCATTGGGAGACATAGGCACACCTGCCTTAAAGAGGGCGGCTACTATGTCCGGATATGCCCCTTTAGTGGCAATCCTTAGTCCAGTGTCAAGATCTTTAGCAGACAGTCTTCCGCTGGTAAGAGCCCTCTGGACTCTCCGAAGATCACCCTCCATGCATGCCTCCTGAAATCTGTATGAGAGAGCATCGTTCTCGGTATTGTGTGACATGGTCAGGGGTGTCATGGGATTGAAGCAAACAGAGAGTTCTGGAGTTTGGTGTTTCAATTGCTGTTACGGTACATGGGTCGGAACAGCAATTTGGGGTTAATGCGTTTGGAGAAGGCGGTGACAAAAGCGGAAGACATACCCAGTCACGATCAGTCTATACCAGCTAATACAACCGAACTAGTATTAATCTGTGCTATTTGGTCTACTCGGTGAAGAGTTATCATCGGTATGATATTGCTCTTCGAGCTCATGCGGATATTCAAATTTCAGGTACCAGTAGCTACAGTGGGGAGGTAGCCTTGGCATGGCCCATCATTTGTTTGTATCCTCGGCCGAACGTAGGATGAACCCCCAATGCGGAAGGCTTGTCTGTACAGATTTTGTCTTAGCCTGCATGTTCCCTTTACTGAATGGGTGCGCAACTTCAACTATGGATTCTATTTTGTAAGACATGTGGAGAGAAAACTTATGTCAATGTGGGATCTAGTTGAAGCCACACAATATATAATACCACAGGTGCTAGTCCAGTAGTTTGAGTCTTTTGAGAAGAAGAATCCTAGTACTACATCTAGGAGTGCCTGCAAATCTAGCGTGGTCCTAACTCCCCAATTCTTTCTATTTAGACACAATGACACGCCTGCCACCGTTCCTCGTCTATCTTTTTTCTATTTTTGCTCGACTCTGCCATGCAGAGGATGAGTATTTCTCCGTGGGCGATCTGAGCCAGTACACCACAGATGGAGTTCGTCTATCACAAATCCCTTCCCGCAAATGATTCTCTGTAAACCACCTAACACACCCCTCTAGATTGCCACGCCTGCACTTACCGGGTCCGTGATTGAGGTCACAGCGGTTGGTGACCCGACCGAGAATGGAATTCTAGCCTTCCTATCTCCGGATATGCAGACCAGCCTAAAATCCACCATGGATAGTGAGTGCGGGGCGGAGATCGACTCAAATTGTTACCAAGGGGTGTTGGATATACTTGATAATCCCGATCGAGTGATTCAATCGGGTAGCCTCCAGAAGCGCTATATAACTCTTCTGGCGGCGGGAGCCGTTGCAGTGCTCGGCTTCTTGATTGCCAAGGTTTACCAGGAAGACAAGGTCGTCCCAGTCCCTATCAAGATACCACCAGAGCAACTGGAGGATTCTTTCGATCTGGAAACCGCCACCGCCATTGTCTTCGTAACCGATGACAACAGTTCGGGACAGACTATAACGCAGGCTCCCGAACAAGACAGGGCAACTGGATGGCCAGCCTCGTTTACGACCTTTGCGAGTGCCGGAAATGGTGCGAGCGCCGGGGACATGGGAATTGAGTTAGACGCAAAGACGGCGGCGCACCTTCAAGCTCTGTTGTCGAGATCAGACACCAGCAACTGCGATCTGGGCTCCGACTTTTTCCCTTCCTCTACTCTCCGAGCTCGCTCTTTAGATATGGACATTATCTGTGGGGCGCAGAATATTCTCGCAGACGGAATCGGACGGGATGGATATCCCAACTGGCTTCTCATGAATCAGAGACGGTTTCCATGGACCGATGCGGAGGTTGTTGCAGGACTGAATACGGTAGTGGGATGGGCGCTGACTCAGGCTCGCCGACTAAACCCAACTATCAGTTCATCCCATCTTCACGACTTGGCTGTTGGGGCCTTCGTCTTGTCATTAATCTACTCTATGAACGGGGCCATCACGACAAATAACATCATTCCATCTGCGTCCCTTCAGGGTGGTCCCACTGCTACGGTTTGTCAAGCGCGAACTGCAACGCAATGCAACGTCGGATGTGAGGTACAGCCCGTAGCCCCTCAATTCGCCTGCTCAACAGCCTGTGTGACCGTCACATCTTGCGATGTGCAAAACACCATTACTACCACAGCCACGGCGACAATGACCGCTATCGGCTCAGATCCTACCGACGATTTGGATGGCCAAGGACAGCAGGTTGCAGTCGCATCATACATCAATCCGCTGAGTGATCCAGCAGCTTGGGACCGGCTCATAGATTACGGCAAACAAGATGCCTATATTAGTTGCCAATATTGTCAATGGACCGGATTCGACAGTTGACAGCAACTGGGAAGATGTCATCCAGCGAGCTTCGTCCGCAGGAAAGACCGTCCTCGGATATGTGCGAACTGGATACCTGGGCGTGAGTGACCAGAAGTTCCAAACACGCCTAGGGTCCGGAGACTTGGCCGATTGGACAGCTCAGATTGAAGAAGACGTGGATATGTGGTACAAGCTTTACGGCGACAGCATTGGCGGCATTTTCTTCGACGAAGGCTGGCCTGAGTGCGGCAACAACAACGAATACGTCAACCTGTACAAGTATATCAATGCATATACTAAGCGCGCCCACCCCGGTGCACTCACAGTCTTGACCCGGGATCTCCCATGGCATCTTGTTACGAGGACACTATGGACACGCTGCTCACATTTGAGTTGAGCTACGACTCCTACGTCAACTCGTATACTCCCAATGATTGGACGCCAAAAGATCCACGAAAGCTCTGGCATATCGTATATGATGTTCCAGAAAGCGCTGTGAGTGAGGTAGCTAAGTTAGCAAATGAACGCGGAGCAGGCTTTTTGCAGCTTACGGATGACACTTTACCCAACCCATACGATACTCTGCCCGCAGATTCCTATATCCAAAGCATGATGGATTCAATTAACGGTGGTTCACCGTTAAATGCGGACGCTGCATCTTGGGGATCTGGAGGTGCTGTAGGAGCTTTGTCTGGACTGACAGTTGTGACATCAGATTACAGCTCCGCTAAACTGTCGTGGGACGCAGTTTCAGATGCTCTTGGCTACTATGTGTATTCCGGCGACAGCCTCATTGCAAGTGTCCCCAGTTCAATGACAACCGTCACAATTGGCGGTCTCGACCCCGGTACCAGTTACGCACTCCATGTTAGTGCCGTGGGTGGCAGCGGGAATCTGGGTTCATCATCGAATACCGTGACTGTGGAGACTACACCCTTGCCCGATGGTAAAACCGTGACGAACTCCTACGCATCAACCAGTGAGGGTTCAACTACGATCCACGCCGACATACTGGTCCCTTATTCCTTTGTTCGTCTCTACATTTGGGACTCGGTGGGATGTGAGTTTGACACAGATCCGGGTTGGAGCATCAACTTCAAGATCGATAACTATGTCTGTGCCCCGTACATGGTCGAGGGAACGACATTATACAAGTATAGTGGCACCGTTCCTGAAGGCTCTACAGCTCCGCCGTGGTCCTGGTCAGTAGTCGGACCCATCACTCTCACCATTACAGACTACACTTATACTTGGACATTGCCAATCGGCACCTCCACTATCGACACTAGCAAGTTCGTGGTTCAGGCGCAAGGCTACAATCCCTTGACCAATATCTTCGAGCCGGTTCCCGACGACTATGATTGCAAGGGCTCGTCTATGTGCAGTACACCTGATCTGTTAAAATGGTGCGATCACGCTGTAAATACCTTGTATCGCGACGATGATCCTACCTATCACTCGGCGGAGTAAGCTATATTTGTCGCATGTTTGATTAGAATGAGGAAACGACTGACTGCTTTGCTTAGTGATCTAAACTCGCTTAGTGGAAATTGCTGGGGAGACCAGAATCGTGGTTGTGGTGTCTTTATACAAGGCCAGAACTGCAGTATCAGTGGTAATGATATGTGGAATGACTACCAGAACATCCGCAAAATTGGCGGGTGTAAGAAGTGCGGCACATACCATAGGGGAGACGGTTGCCTCGTGACCATTAACTATGTTTACCAATGTGATAACCATTGATTGGTGTCATTGATGGAAGGATGAAAGGGCGCCAGGGTTGGGGTACTCTTCAGTTATAGTTGACGTTGTCCAAAACATTGTTTTTGTTGGTATTTTGGCGTGAGGTGTGCAGTGGACAAATCGTTACATATCTCCGTGTATTACCTATCGACCCTTTTGCGATTTACCCGTCTGTATGAACGTTTGTTGTGCATTAAATTGCAGAGATATGATAGCTATTTGTGCAAGTTTAAGAACAAATTTCAAGCGGTAAATCAACCTAGTTATGACTGAATTTCGAGAGTGATGTATGTAGAACAGTCAAAATTATTCAAGAAAACATAAGTTGCGCAGGTACAATCCTCCCAATCCTCCACATTATAAAGCCGAGAGTTGTCAACAGCGTTAGATAATATCAACAATCTCTTCTTCACTCAACTCCTGAGTTGTAGGACATATGAGTAATTGTTTCGAGCCTTCTATTACATTTCTCAAGTCAGTCATGTAGGGAAAAGGTATACAGTATGCTACTCTAGGATAAGGCATTTCTAAGTTCTGAGGGGTATGTCAGATGGTCCGCTAATGGAGGAAATGCGAAGCGTCCGGCCCTTACTGGCGGTGGCCAAGAAGATTTTGACGGTCTTATACCTAAAAAATGTATGTAGGCTTTCCCGAACCCTGCCACTACTGAGTGCAAATTTTGTGTTTTGTCTTCTTCCTTCTGCTACGTTGCTATTCCAAGTCGCTGCCAATGCTACCAACTTCATAGTCCAATGAATTGACATGTGTTCCTTCCTCAACGGATTATGCTCCAACGTCTTGATTCATTCTTATTCATGAGGCTTGTCCTTATCTAACCCCTCGCCAAACTCGTTCCCATTACTCATCTCCATTCTCGTGCATTCCTTTGCGACCAATTCGTGGGATGTGTTCCAACGCATCATGGCAGTCTCTGTTTTGTGTAATAGTCACTATAATATGATCATTTAATTCTACGTAAGGTCTACAAACCTCTAATGGTCGGGATATACTTGTCTAAAGAGGCATCTTTATAAGGAATTACATCAGTGACCGACTTGAGTAGGAGCTACGTTATGGATTCAGTAGGTTGTTGAGTCTTAGCGATTACTACCCATAACCCGCATTACTTGGTGAAACTGTGACGCCAAAAATATAAAAGTATACAGGAGACTCTCTCACACAGTATGAAGACTGTTTACACATTGTTTGAGCGTTCAAATCTGGTCGCATTTACCTGTCATCTGGTTTTGCGTAATGAATAAGGGGATGACCTTTGAAGCCGTATGTGAACCTAGACGCGGGCTTGGCAGGGGGCTTAGATGGTGGCTTAGACCGAGCCTATATAGCCTAAATGCAGCCTTAGACTGTGGATATATTGAGGTGAGTCGCCGTGTACCGCAAATCTTGTACCTAAAATTTCTCGGCCTCGGATTACTTTTGCGGGTGACTGACGACTACACCAGACTGTACGTCACTCATGATGGCCAATACGGCAGGATCTATCCATACCGTACTGCCTTTCGATGGACACTACATTCGACTTCTCAAATTCGAGTCTAGCGCCCCTGAAGAATCTCTTAGACTTTCTCTCAAGACATGCAAATTCGCAGAGAAACCCGACCACAACAGCCTCTCTTATGAATGGGGAACCACCGCAGCTGACCAACCGATCCTCGTCAACGATCGGCTCTTCTTCATCCGGGAGAATCTGTACAACTTCCTGAAGATATTAGCCAGCAGTGCTACAGAGACACTTATTTCTTCGCGGACGCAATCTGTATCAATCAGAATGACATCTCCGAGCGTAATACCCAGGTCCAGCGAATGGGCGATCTTTTTGCAGAGGCAGAAAACGTGCTGGTCTGGCTTGGACCAGCCACAGCCGAGAGCGATCTCATCTTTGATCTATGCATTGATTCGACAGCGAACAACACCATCGTCCCAATTAAGCTGAGGAAGAATAAGGCAACGATCAACGCCCTCGACACAATATACCAACGGTCCTACTGGACCAGGCTGTGGATAATCCAGGAGTTATTTCTGGCACGAAACATCATCTTATTTTGTGGATCAAAGTCGACTGCGTGGTCAGTTTTTAGACGGCTGCCGAGGTGGAACAAGCGCGAGTTTGCCCTTGGCGGCTTTACGGGAGTTAATATGATTCTTGACAGCACACCGGCAGGTCGCCATGCAAGGGATATTCTAGATGAGTTAGACAAGAGTGATCAGGGAAGAAGCACTTTTACAAAGATAGGACTTGTGGACCTGATTCTGAAATTTGGTCTGGCTCAATGCTCCGATGTTCGTGATCGTGTATATGGCCTACTTGGTCTTGCTAGTGCATCTAGTGCATCCAGCAAAGCCGAGGAAGGCCGAGGACTTGAGGTCATTGTGGACTATTCGGAGAGCCCAATGTGCCTATTTGTGCGCCTTCTGCGTACCATGCCGCGTGAACACCGTATTGGAACCGCACTAGAGCTCTTCAACGTTCTGGAGCTGCAGCGTGCTCCTGAAAGTGCGATTATTGGAAGCATTCCAGATACGGACTTGTGTCTATCTTTCTAAATTAGCTTCACCCATATAGGACATCTCAGGAATGTGACTCAGTCCTCTGACAAGTCCCTGCACCAACTCCTGGCAGGAAAAGGTTTCGCGCAGATACAAAAAGGCGAAAGGCAAAACGCTATGGTAATCTATGGCGGTGGGCCTCTATATAGTATCATGTCGTATGACAGCTGTGTAACCGCGTCTGGCGCTTGTGGAGGTGATGATGTCTTCCTTCTGCAAGGTACCAACTTCGTCCTAATCCGACGTTATGATGAATGGGGCGGTACGTCGGGTTACATCCGAGGTCTTCTCTGCAGCGGAAAAAGCGAGCAAAGTATCCAGAGAGCAGGCGAAATTCTCGACAGCTTCCTCCCCCATTTACCGTTCATCAGAGGTAATTGTCTCAGGTCTGAGAGGCATACGATGTTCAAGCTGGCGGGCCCGGTTGACTTTGTCTATGAGGAGCTGAGTCTGCGACAAATTATATTGCTCCTGATATATACCGGACAACATAGTGATTATTGGAGTCAGCAGTTAGAGGCTTCTACTAGAGAACTAATGAACATCAGGGCGGGCTAATCTTTGCTAAATATTTATATACTATCAACGACCAGTCTTTTAACCAGAGCATGTGAAAGTCTGTCCCACATTAGGTGCTGCTCCCATACCCTTATCCAATCAATGCCATCAGTGTTGAAAAGCTCATGAGCGGAGCCGGTGCGGAGGAATCCTGGCTTGTGTAGCAGTAGTAGTGCCTCCCTATGTAAATGTGCTTGTCGTTGTGGTGGCTTCCGTAAATAATAAGCATCAATCAATGATTGTACGAAGTAGCATCCCAGCCAAAGGACTCAAAGGAGCCTCGAACAGCTGACTGCAGATACATACGTTTTTAATTACACACACAGACTTAGTTCTGCTTTCACCCGCACGCCACTCTGGTATGGTATGGTATCCGCCAGGTTGATCTGGGTCGGTTAGCATAGTACTTTTGTCATTTCGTTTGTGGTGGCGACACACCTACCGAATACAAAGGTTCCTTATTATCACGTTACTATTTATGACGGATTAAATTTCTCTTGTCCTACATCTCACACCGACCCACCAACGACGAAGGTAGACCTTGGCCTCGCTATCGCCTACTTGTTCGATAATTCCGCTGCAAAATACCAGTGTTGACCACGTTAATTTACATCTGTCGGTTTTGACCACAGACATAGTTGAGGTACACATGTTCTTGCTTTTGGTTCAGAAGTCTACCTCATACCAACAGTACGACCCAAGCGACACCTCCTATTTACGAATCGCTGGATAAGAATATCGCCTAACCTCTTGGCTCCTTTCTATCATGGCTTCTTCAGCGCGTACGGCCGACGGCAAGCCAATCTCCCAATTGACAACGCCTGTCAAAGTATTGAAAAAGAGAAGCAAACAAGCCAAGTACCAGTTCTTGAAACTTGAAGATTCCGTGTTTCGGCAAAGGCAATTGGAAACGCCACGGCGAATTGTACCACCGGAGTTAATTGAAAGAATGTTGGCGCTGCTGCCCACCCCCGACCAGATTTGGTTCGGGTTGAGTTGCAGATATATCTTCGCTTGTCTGGACAGATACCTTAAGACGCAAGGAATGAAACTTCGCCAGCTTCTCCCGCCCGAAGAACGGGTGATTCTATGCCCCAACGCTAAGGAAAAGCCTAGAATACAGCTACTTCTTCGGCTTAAGAATGACCGCTGGAAATATTGCCATGATTGTTCGACGCTTCATCCAAGCGCCCTCTGTCGCGTCCGGCCGCAGAAGCCATGCTGTTTCAAATGCTACTTCCTTAAAGCAGATTTTCAATGTATGCCGTATGCAGGCAAGGTCGACATCTGTCCATGCACCAGTATCATATTTCACGATAAGCTTCATTTGATACGACAGTGTAAGGACACTCAAACATATATACTACGTCCCGGCGAGATAATATTTGGTGATAATGTCCCATTGAATGCCGACAGCAGGAAGCCATATGGGAATCTCAGACATGACTGCGAGTTTACAGGCCATTCTTCCATCGGGGTTCGAATTAGGACTGAGTTTTGGCTTTCTGAGATGGACATGAGTTTATGCGTGATTAACCAATATGAATTCAAAACACTTCACGAAAGTCCATCAGTCAGCTTGAGCACTATCCCAGTGTGCTCATATAAGGATACGAAGAACTGGGTCAGGAGAGTCTTCCATGATGGTGGGTCGAGCTTTAGAGGCTGGGAAAATAGCCGCTCTACGCACTTATTAGAGCATCGTGGCTGGGAAAGGGTGAAATCTGGGGAAGAAACATACACTTCCCAGGTAATGATATTCAGGAATTTGGGGGGTTGGAAGTGGCCTAACAAAGCTTGGGCTAACCACAGCAATCACTGAGGCAGTACTTGCTTTTACAGTCTTGGGCATTTGATGTATACTGTGAGATCCTCCTAGCTACTAGCTATAGCTTTAGCTTATCTAAAAATGCATGATGCTTTTAGCAGCCCTTATCGAAAAAAATTCATTCTCGGCAAATGCAATGTTCTTTGATTTTACCTTGTTTAATCACAAAAGCTGAACACCCCGCGTCCCTGATCCACAAGACGAAGGTTTGAGCTACGGCATGGCCGAGCCTAGATCCGTCGATCCTCGGACCGCTATCCGGAAGTTACTCTGGAATAGAGTGGCAAACTAGTGCCATGCATGACAATTCCGGCCCATCCTCGCTTTCCGGTAATACCGAAACAAGGCGCCCTGCCTGAAGTATAACATCGGTGTATACACTTCAGAGAATGCACTCCAAAATAAACACCGATCTGTCCTATAGATCGCCACTATCAGAGCCAAAATGAATTCAGATATATTCCCTGAGCCTCCATCCGATACCATCGGTAAGTCTCGTACCCCTGGCCGCCTATTAAGGACTCCGTACTCCGATGCGGTGCGCTAACCGGTCCGACAGATTGGTCTTCCCTTGGAAGCCAAAGCGTTGAATGTACGTTGTCTCTCTCGCTGACGGCCTTGCAAGTCTTGAACTTATAGCATTGGAGCTAAGATTTACTACAACTGATATAGTTCCCACTTCTCATGTGGAATGCACCTACACCCCTACAACAAGCTCCTGGAGCGCACCCACAGTGATCAACAACCCAAATCTTCAAATCAACGGCTTCGCAGTGGGACTAAACTACGGAGGACCATATTATGAGTCCCTTACTGGTAATTTATTACATTCTTCTCTTCTCAGCAAAGTAATTCAGCATACTGATTTCGGCTTCTGCTATAAGCCCGACGTACGCGAGATAACCGCATCCTTCTCTTCCGGCCCCACGATCATGCCCGTCACTTAGCAGATGCTGCAGCGGCGGTAGGCATGACGGCTGTTCCCGAGCACATCTTCCTAGAGTGTGTTAGGAATGCAGTAGCAGTCAATACTTCCTATGTACCTCCGCCTCAGACAGATGCGGTGCTCTACATTCGCCCGCTTCTGTTTGGCCCTAGTGTTCCTCGCATTCGCGATTCTCCGGCGCAGTATACTTTCTGTGTGTTTGTGCGGCCGGGTGTGGTGTATCCGCGAACGGCGGCGCAGAACGCAATAGTTCTGATCGATGATGGTGCTGATGACGTTCCCACTGCAGCGGAGACTCAGAACTGCTCTGGAAATAAAACTTGGGATGAGGGGTGGAAAAGGGGGTTGGAGGATACAGGGCAGCTAGATGGTCGACAGGCAGAACGGGATGGATATAGTATGAAGCTCCGGCTGAAAAACACCCGACATGGGTCATTCATCGATGGGTTCACAGCGTCTGCATTTATTGGGGTGCAGGAGGAGCACGGTAACTATACGTTGATAGTACCGAGACATCCCAGCCGGAGCATCATTAGTAATTCTTGCGTTGCGATTGCCATACAACTTGGGTGGAAGGTGAAGGTTGGGCCGGTATGTATTCCGCTGAACTCATGGGTACCCTCGCACTCTTGGTTATTATTCTGCTGCCAGTGGAGTAAATACAAGGAATGGCGCTAATTCGATGCCGTTGCAGATTTCGGTCGATGACATCGATACCCTGTCCGAAGTCATTGCCACCAGTACATGGCACTGGCTGCTCCCCATTCGACTGATATTCAGTCCATCGGCCCGGCAGACAGTAGTGTACCAAGCTGGGTCTCATCAGGCAGGACCTGCGTGTCGACTGCTGCGCATTGCTATTGGAAAAGTCATGGGTGGGGAAGTCTCGGACGTATGGCAATGGTGTGTGCCACTGACGCAGCAGGATCAATTTCCTGGCTGAACGGCGGCATGGGTGGAGTACGGGTAGATCTAGGCGCATTAACACGCTCCCCGCCGTTTGGAGTCGAGCTGAAATTCCATTCCTCTTTTTTTCTCCGTCGCTGGAAGATGCCACGGGGGCCATTGATTCCCGTGGTCTAGCTAGCTTTCCTCAGCTGGTGCTTGCCGTCTCCGTTTAAGAGGGCTCATGTAGGTGTTTCCTTCCTAGACCCCTAAAGAGCATAGATTTATCCTCATTCCGTGAAATTCGGTAGATGGCATGGTATCTGGGCCCTTACAAATTCGGTGATCAATGCTAAAATGCATCACGGCGATACTCGTGCAGCAGCCTGTCCTACATCAGTTTGCAACTGTCCTGGAGTTCCCTCCCACTGGTATTCGATAGATGCCCTAGTTGTTAATGATACTCGTATAGGTGATTACTCACACGTATATGGCCACCGGTCGGGTTCGCGAGGTCTGGGCCATATCAGCATCGCCAGTCGAGCGATGCGAACATCCTTTGGGAAACTTCGAGCTAGCCACCGCTGGCGAACGTCATGCACAGTCAATTTCCCCAATTGTTTCTCCTCTGAGATGGACTGGCCAGAAGGAATACTCTGAGTCCCGGACAGTGTTGTTTGTATCAGAGAGAGAGGAAGAGAATGAGCACGAAACACCGAGTTAGTATTTCGGCTAATTGCCATCCGATAGCCGACCGAAAGCACCGCAGATCAGAGGGGGGTACGAACGAGGAGCTGTGCTGGACCGGGTGTTGGAATAGGCCAACCCCTGTGAAAATATTTTCTTTGGCGCTGTCCTAGACCAGGGTGTATGGGGCTGGTGTGGGTCAGTGGGCCGCGGCTGAGACTCACGGCCAGGCCCGGCCCTAAGAAGTGGCTGGCTATGGTCTTCCCAGTCCGATCTAGGTGGCGTTCAATAGTAGATGACCGGATGAAATTGGAGACGGGAAATCTAAACACCGATTCCTTGATTATATTTACCTATTAAAGGAGGTGTGTGCGTGGCGTGAATAGCGTCGATGCAGTGGGGTGTGCCCGGTCATCCAACCTGCATGGTAAATGTAACGTTGGTCCGGGGTGATTCACCTAGTGCTTCGGTCGGCGCAGCACTTAGATTGATAGTCGCTTAAAAAGCCTTGGCTCATTCTGGTGCACATATCCGGGTAATTGGCTTGGGGAGCTCCCAGGGAGCCTGCCCATCGCACGTTTGTGGGGTTCTGTGGCCTTTGAAAGCCCGACGACAGATAGTTTATGTCTGTGGACAAACACGGCTTGAACCAAAGGACACCTCCACCGGTGACTACTTGACACACGTTAGGGATGGCAAGCTGCTCTCACTGGCAACCGACGTCATACAGCAGGTTATTATCAATCAAACATTCCAAGTACCTGCGAGTCTGGCCAAGCCCGCCAATAGCGCCAAATGGGCACAGTTGCCCGTCGGTACATGCAATCCACGCCTGTCTCTCCGTCAGCCGTGCGATTGGTCGAGGGCGAGCAGGTTGCCTCTAATGCTAACCTCATTGGATGGTAAATCTCTCGACCATCTGTCATTACAAGAACATCTCTCTCGTGTGCGATGATCGGAGATACGCGATGCACTGCTGCAGTGACTGGACCCGCCGTCCCCAACATGAAGAGGCAGGCTGCCCTGGCAGGAACCAGACCCCGCCCTGCTCTTTCTCTGTCTGTCCCGATCAATCATCCCATATACTGTGTGCAGTCATAGGGATTTGCCCCTGTGATGCGCTTGATATATTCTCATTCTTTGCTTTTTGCCATCACGGCCAATCCCAGAAAGACCACTTTGGGGATTTGGAAGGCTTTGGTGATGGCACAATGATCGGAGCGCAAAAGCATATGAGACTCATGTTGGGCTTGGTGGGGCGGACTAGGTTGGGAACTATCCCAGATTAATTGTGAGCAACCAAATCCCGAGAGGGGAAGTGTGAACACTCGTAAGGTGCATACACTGTTCCATGTTCTCGTGCCAAAGGTAGTACGCAACTCTCCGAAGGTGGCAGCGCCCGCCTTTTATAGGCCTGTTGTTCATCTTTCGATTGCGTCTTCGACGAGACTCTTTGCGTGATCTTGCAGTTTACACATATCTGCTGTGTCGTGATTGAAGCCAACAGCCATCATGAATGGAATCCGTAAGGGTATTACACGACGAAGAGGCGCCTGCGAGCCGTGCAAGGCGCGGAAGACTAGATGTCAGTTCCCGGCGATGTCCCTCCTCTTGCTATCTTCCTTACTTGCCTCTTTCGACATAGTGGATCGTGCCACTTTGCAATATAGCGTGATTTCACTCCTTCTTTGTTCTCAAGCTGACCAAAACTCAACACCCTAGGTGATGGAGGTAGTCCTTGCATGCACTGTCGGGTAAGTTCCCATCTTGTTTTCCAAGTCATTTCGTACGCATGTCTTTATCCTGACAGCACAGCTCCCAGAGGAAGGATAGCCCTTGCATCTATCCCCAAGGTCCAGCATCAGCAAGGTCCATGTTCACCCCGTCGCGGCTCAGTCCTGCCTTGAGTCTAGTCGAACGTGACTCAGATCTGCCGTTACAGCACACAATCAGCCCTCGGGGATGGATGGAGGCAATTGCTCCGGGTTCTTTAGACTTGTGCTGTTGGGAACTTCCCGATGTATCATGCAACCCTTGCCCGGACTGGTCGGCTGATGGCTCGGTCCTAGGAGGTCCATCCGAATCCGAGACAAGCCCTGCTACTCTTTCTCCGCCTTATGGTGACCCATCAGCGACCAGTTTAAATTATGAACAAGGAGGTGACGGGATGTTTTCTATCCATATTGTAAGTTGCATTACATCGTGGGACTAACGTTGCAGCCAAAGCTGATTTCTCACAGCTGCAAAAGGAGTTTCAAAGTACAGTGATCCCCTCAACTTTCCATATAACTGGCATACTCATCAAGTACAATAGCTCGCCAAGTAACTCCAGGCTTCGACATTCCGGCACTATATTCCTCCCCACCTCTCCTTGATGGTGATCATCCACGCTACGAAAAGGTGAAACGAGCCACACAGCTCCTCAACTGCCAAATTGTGGGCGACAAGATGACAT